TTACAACAACTTAGGGTACACATAGAAAGTAGCAGAGAAACAAGAAATACAGGAGGGTCCGGCGAAGCAATCCGAGTCCGATTTCACGTCGCACAATGTTGTCCGCGTTGTTTTTCGTTCGACCTGACACAGCGAAGACATTCTTTTCGAATGTCGTGCTGCTGTTGTTGTGGTTGTGTATCGTGATGTCCTCTCTGCCGTGTAGTCGCGCGATTGCTACAAGACGCGTTTTTCTTCCGAGGAAATGGGCCACGTTTTTGGTCTTTTCGGTGTCGCATCTCTAGCGCGCAAAAAATCGATGCGATGCGATGCCGAGCAGACGCAACACAATAAGACAATGCGAAGCAGAAGTAATAAACGACCCGAAATAGAATAAAATGTAATGGCGAGGCGAGTGCCTTCGACGATAAGAAACACATTGATATGGTTTTCTAGCAGAAAAACTAAATAATGTGAGAAACCATTAAACCTTGACCAAACACAAAAAATATCTCATTTAAACTTAAATTTTCTTTGCTAAATTTTCATTCTCCACCCAAGTGGATACAGGAGAAATCATTTTAATTATTCAACATTTAAATTACGTAGCAGCAAAGCACTTAAATTACGACAATTAAATTCATTTGCATAAATTTTTAATGCCTTTGATGATTTGTTGTTTTATTATTAATATAACTGTGAATAAATGACAGGTAACTTCCCAAGTCAAAAGGTGAATTAATATTGTCTCGATTCGCATGATTTGCTCTTCCTGTTCGCGTTCGCTTTCGTGGACTTTATCAGTCCTGCCGAACAAACAGAGAACAATGTCATTTCATCACTCATTCACGTGCGAGAGTAATATCTTTGTGCGCGTCGTTCACACCACCGCACATTTGCCTCATCTCTCACGCGCAGGATTGCATTGACATTGAAAGATCGGTAAAGAATTTAGTACCTTACAAATTCACAATTATACAGCATGTTTTGGTGGAAACTATATAAGTACTAAAAATTGAAATTAACCTATAAAGATCAATTTTTTTACTAAAAAATTGTTTTCTTTAAGTGAAAAAAAATATTATTATTAAAATGGGTTTAATTTTTGTCACACTTAGTTTTTGATAGGATTGGCATGCGTATGTGCTTCCGGTGAGAAAGACGAGTCTTGCGGATGTAAAGCAGGTGCGAATTTCCCACAAGTCTTTCCATTATTCAACCTCGTAATGTATTCGGCGTTCGGCGGCGCTGAATAGCTTTTTGTCTATCCATTTGCATAATTAATGATGGGACGCTGTAACTGCTGGCCCAAAAAACTCCTCTTTAACAAAAAAATCTCACCACCACAAAGAAAGCCGCCCTTTGGGCGAAAAGAAAAGCGTACTGTTTATGATAGGCACATTGGCTGGCACAAAACACTCTTGAAAACACTTTCAAGCTGCATGCACGAGCCGCACTCTTAGACCTCCTCCACTTCCGAGTCTATCGATCATTCAACACTTCATTCTGAATACGAAAACGAACACGCGCCAGAATCTACTCGAATAGGACACTTAAGTTGTGGAAAAGTCATAAACCTGATAAAATACAAGTGGAATTAAACGTAGGCGTTGTGTTTAAATGCAAATTCTCCTTTTGCGCCAGCTTTTAAAGAAATCTACAACTCGAGAATTGAAATAACACTTGCAGTGCGATTGTGCGATTAGATGAGAGGAGAGTGTAAGGCACACTCGGTTAATGTAATTCCACAGTCGAATTGTCGAATTGTACGTAATTCGATTCGCTACCGAGCGAACAGTACTCCCAGAGTCAGTGAGTCGACCGAAGAGAACTGTGTTATTCTTCACAAGTTACGAATTCGGGCTCAAACTCAAAGAAGAAATAGAACATACTAGAAACCGGCTCATGTTCACCTAGGTGTAACTACAAACTACATACAACTAGAAGAACCGATAACTATACAATGCACACAAGCTGATAATACAAAGCTCAAAGTTTTACCGTCTGTGTAGGTGTGTGTGAGAAGCATTTTCTTAGTCGGTTGAAGGCAGCACATGTGATCCGAGGAAGAATTTACGAATTTTCGTCCGCTAGCACGCGCTCGGTCACTGGTAACAACTATTTTCCAGCTTTCTCCGCTAGTTCTATTTTCTATTTGCCACCGTCGCGGAAACACCGCACCTTAACCTTTTGTATTATGTCTTTGTTTCCGGGGCCGCACACACTTGTATTCTATTTTGTGCGCGTCCAGTTACTTTCTTATCCGTCTGTTGTCGGTTTTCCTCTGTTCGTTAATTACAATGTGCGGGAAAACAACAAGGGAGCTTCGAGGAATTTTCCTCGCACAAAACCGAATAGAATAAGAGGTTTTTATTCAGAGCCGAGCATTACTTAAAGTAAATAGTAAAAATATAGACTGATGCAAGAGCAGAAAATGAGAAAATCAATTTCGACTTTTAATTAAATTTTGTTGTATTTTTTCTTGCAGATCATGCCTGTTGAGAGTTGAGTTTGATTCTAAACGAAGGGTTAGGCGGCTAGACAATGGTCCAAAGTCATTACCCTGTTTTGCACTCGACGATCTTATTACATGCTCGGAAATCCCTTATTTACACCCGAGCTGCGCTACCAGGATGCTTAACGGCGAGAGCATTAAGCGCACATCGCAATATGCGAGACGAAACGCGTGCGGAATAACCGGGGAAACACGACGCCGAAGCCGTCCCGGCGTCGAGTGATATCTAGATGCGATATCGGATTGTGCGAAGACGGCGATGCCGCGACGCCCGACAATCGTAAGCAAATTTATATGAACCGACTAGAACACAGCGAGCGCAAACTTAAAGATGAAATATTTCAATTATGTAAGAAGATCACGCTAAATTATCAGTGCATTAAAGCGCATTTTCCTCTTTTACTTAATAATTTTCAAAATGTAATTAAAACTTAAATACTGCACTAGTAGCAACATTGAAGATATTATTTCATTTAAATTCTGAAATTTAATTCATTTACCTTAAATACTGTATACGAAAAATATTTGCATTACCGTAAATCAAATTTTATTAAATTTAACTGCGTTTTTATGCATTTTTTACGCGCGCTCTCAATTAAAACGCACTTGAAGACTTTATTTAACTCACGAAAACTTTTCAAAGCTCTACCCAAGTGCAGTTATTCATAAATGTTCATAAATTAAAAACGCGCCCAATTAATTCCAAGTTGTTTTCACTGTTGAAATTGTTCCCGGCCTTTAAGAGCACCATAGCAACCTTCGTCATCCCCTGAACTGCTTAAATTTAACGATTCCGAATATCAAATAACGTCTAAAATTCGAAAACTCCGAATAAATGTTAAGGCGCAGACCGATATAGAAAGATCAAAAGAAATAACCAAACGTCTTTGTGAAATTCCTTTCCTCTGACTTCGTGATACCAATTCGTGTCTCACTTTCAGCAAGCATATTTTTCATCATTACAGAGCAATCCATCTACGACTTAACATAGAAAAGAAATTCCATAAATGGTGCGCAGGTGCGCAATCGACAAGAGAGTTGTTTTAAGTGAATAAATGAATTGAAAGCTTTTCGGCCGTTTTTCGCAATATCACCGAAGGCTAGCGCGCTGTAGAGGAATGGTGGCGGCAGGGAGGCGGTTTCGAGTACGCGCTATCTCCGAGTGCGCACTGCGCTGCGGTTAATAGTTGCCGTGCGGTCAGCGCTCGCAGCGGCGCCTCCTTAATAAATAATTCCAGCCGGCTTGCGATGTAGTTATCGCGACATAATGTGGCCATCCATGTGGATTTACAAAGTCAATTGTTCGCACGCCCTTTTCCACCCTACCCCGAGAAAGGTTAATGTATGACTTAACCAAACTAATGCTTTATCACACAACGCAAGTGTACAAATATTCATAAGTTATACAAAGTGTTTCAACATAAACTAAAACTTCTATAACAAAATTTAAGGTTCGGAAATAGTTAAAAACAAAGAAGATTAGATTTCCGAATTAAATTCGCAACAAAATTTTTGCGTATTTAGGTGGATAGTATATCCTGTAGCAAAATGTAACTCTTTGCCCGTAAATAAAGTTGAGTCTAGTCGAGATTCGCCCGTTCCGAAACTTTCCAACCGTCCCCGTTCCCCTAGTTGGAACAAAACAACACGACCCGAACAAACGCCGCCTCCTTCCATTGCTCGTCTACAGGACGAATGGCGATCTCGAGCAGATGCTGTCGAGGTTTGCGTGCACGAAACGTGTTCGAATCCAGCGAAATCAAGTTTCCCCCGGACGCCGGCGGATAGTTAATGCCAGTTTCGCACTTTTATTAGCTCATAAGGAAGTGGACGTTTTATTATCGCCGCAATGCAAGAGTTGGGAAAACAACCCCCAACCATCGCTCAGCAAACAACATAGTATTACAGTACTACAGCGAGTCGATCCGTGAATGAAATATGCCGCACATCTCTCTGCATTGCCCAAATGTGCACTAAGGACTAGGGACGCACACACTAATATCAATCTTGGCGTCTGCAAACGCGAGCTTGTAACGTTATTTTTATCTGATTGCGCTGAGAATTGCGCAATTGCGCCATTCCCGAAGAAGTATTGCGCGACGAGACGTAGGATATTGCATTAAAATTGCATGTTGTGCGTTTGTTTCACGTTTTGTTCGCAATTTCAGTCTTCTTGGTGAGAGATATTTCGCTCTATGGTAAGAGTGTTTTCGCCGAAGGCTTTGTTTCGGTTTTTATTTGGTTTCGTGCCCCTTCGGCGGACATAAGAATTTCATCAAAGGTAGATTTGTATTGATGGCCCGCCGAAGACTCGGGCACGACCCTCGAGACTACATCACTCGCCATTGTTCGCCGAGGATATAGAAATGTATTTTATTATATTTTTGTCAGTCTACGACCTGTGGAGCGGTATTTGTGAGAGGAAAACACGCCGACCAACAAATCTATACTATCCCTTCTATCATCATCTTTTGTTTGTTTTATAGGTTATGTATCGGGAGCTCACCTGGAACCAATCTGGGTCCGTTGATGGTTGACAGCGGGCCGCTGCCATACTTGACGTGGCACGGATCGGCGTTGCTTGAAACGACGGCGATCTCGTCCAGCTCGTGCCCGTCGGTGGGCGTCAGGGTGGCGATGCCGCCGCCGCCGCCGCCGTGGCCGACCAGCTTACCGACGGCGGTGCTGTCCTGCGACTGCTTGCGGCCTCTCCAGCTCAACACGAGCCGTTTCGCTGTTGACATCACGCCATTTCGCGCGACCGCCGCTCAGCCGGACGCTCGGCGGCGCCGCCCGCCCCCGCGACGACGACGGCGCGCGACACTGACGCGGATCGCCTGCCCACGCCGACATCAATCATCTTCACAAACAATCACCTGCAAACGTAAAACAGAAAGAACACAACGATAAATATTCAATATTTGATTAGGGAAAACGGCGGCTGCAGAGGGCGCCACTTTAACCAGACGACTTAAGAGGATTTGCAGCTTTATCCTTTATTTTTATGCTATTACATTCGCGTGCATTCAATAACGAAGTCGCTTTCCGTGCAAAACCTCTTTCTTCTTCTCTGTGACACAGGATTGCGCGGAGATGTAATAGGATGATGAGATATCACACGGAAAGTTTTCCGCGCGCGGCGACGAGATTTACGCGGCGCGGTTTTGTTTTTATTCGTCGAGAGTTTTCCAGCGGCAAACCGAGTAAACTTGAACGAACACAATACCGTTTTAACTTTATCTGTACAGATTTTTTCCAGCCAAGAGCAAAATAAACATATAGAAAATAAAACCAAACAACAAAACCCGTAATTAATATCGCACCAAATGTTATTATCATTATCTAATCAGGTCAATGTGGTAATTTGCTTTGATAAATCATCCTGGGTGGCGTTTGCAAGCACCCAAAGATAGAATAAATCAATTACCTACACTTTTTTGCACACGCCCCGCGCCCCGCATGCTTATGGAAAGCAAACATGGTGGCGCGTGGGCTGGTGCGTATGTAATGCACTCTGAATGTGTACATTAATCTAAATCTGAACCAACATCCCGACGTTCCCGACCCTTACTGCTACTATGCGCGAAGCAGTACAGTAACACCGCGCTATTTACCGTTCGACGTTCGGCGTTCGACATTTCACATTGCCGCCATTCTCTTGAAATTGGAATCGAATGTCACGGACACATGTAGAAACATTAGCGCGGATTGCGAAAGCGTTTGTACCAACTGCAAGTTTTGATTGAAAGTAAAACAGTGTTTGTTTAATAGGTGGGCATTAATATTTGTTCATTAAATGACAGTTTTGCTAATTGATTTTAGGTGCATTACTGCGTGTGTTTCCGTTTTTCCGGTATGCGGGGGCGTGTTTAAATCCAGCTTAAATATCATTCTGTGTTTTTTATCCGGTTCGATTTGCAGATAAGCTACAAATTTCAGAACGAAAGTCGAACTAAGCCAGTGTTGCTATGTTTGTCATATTTGCATGGTAACGAGTTTTCAATTTTTTACTGTTTAATCAGCGGATTTAAAAAAATACAACAAAAAATATCACTATGAGGTCAAGAATAAAAAAAACTATAAAATCAGTAATTTTAATATGAAAACCAGTAATATCTTGAGGTAAAATAAACTAAATAAAGTAAAAGTACGAAAATATAAAGGAGAAAGTATTGCATGAAGATGAAAACTCTAAGGAAGCGCACAAGGACGCAGCTCAAACGTCGGAATGAATTGCGGTAGTACATAAGCATATACCCAGGACTAGAAGCAGAGCATGGCGAGAGCCATGGACGTCAGAGCGTCGCAGCAGGATTTTGACCCTCATTTAAGTGTCGCTGCTGCGCGCCCAGCCGCTAGACAACTGGAGCCATCCGACGTATTATTATTAGGAGAAGTAGTGGAGCCAAAACCGGAGCCAGCACCAGCCAGGATGACTCCAGCATCGATCTAGCGCATAAACTGGACTCAATTTTTAAATTAACTTTCCCCCGCACCACACGAAAAAATTAAACATTTATAAATAAAACGCGTGTATTACGAATGTAATTTTTATCCATTACGGGTTGATTTTAATCCGCTTCGCAGGTGAACACAGAAAAAACGCAATTTCACATGTTCAAATATTAAACCGCGTTAATTCTAATTACACCACCTTTTTTCCTACCGCTTGCAACGCGCCAGATAACCATTTTGAAAGCGCGCGCGGCGGCCGTGCGAAACTTCGCATAACATTGTAAATGTTAATGTTGGGACAGCGTCAGCGTTTGCCGCAGCCGCATCCCTTTTGCTGCAGTGTCATAAATTGCGCCCTAAGCGGCGGCGGGGTTGCAGCGCTGCCGCCGCACCATAACGATAATTACAAGTAACAACAGTTAGATATGACTATAGATTCACACTTGTTGCGGCAGCGCGCAACGCTTAAACTCTAAACGATTTCTCCCTACCCCAGCCCCCAAACTTACGCAAGTTGTGTGCAAACGTTTAATCCGATTGAAAAAAGATTTTGTGTCGCGTTTGGGGAAAAGAAGATGAAACAATTTTTATTTGCGACGCTAGTAAACTCGATTTTATTCGCAATTAATTTCTACTTCAATGAGTGTGTAACACGTAACGAGCGCGAGGCGCCTGCTGAGGAATAAAATCCGACGCTTCTTCAGAGAGTCGTTAAACAATCGCACTCGAAGGCGCAAGAAGTGTCTAAACGAATTATCTCCGCGCTAGTGCGTTTAATTGACAACATAATATGATTGGGGTGCAATGTATTCCACTTTGATTAATTAGTTAGCCGACGTCCGAATTGGGCCATGCTAATATTAATTTATTGCAATCTGTCTGATGTGGTGAGATATTATTAAAGTTATGATGCGAAGAATAAATTGAGTGAATTTTTTTCTGCTCAGGTGAGACACCTACGCACGTTAAAAAGTCGAAAAAATCAATTTCGCATCTTACAGGTTGTTTGCCATCATGCCATCAGAACTGCCACCGGCATTTTACCTTCTCTTATCTCGTCGCGCACGCATCGCGAGAATAAAACGAAACAATTTAAACTTTCCAAGCGATGAAAGATTTTTTTGCTGTCTTTAGTGATATATTGTTTGTTATCACTCACCAAGTAATTTTTTCCCTCTCATGCGCTGTGAGTTTTTTCGAACAGCACGACACGCGCGTCCAGCGAAATTTTTCTATTTCAACCTCCCCGGGCCTCCCGCACTCTCGACTCGCGAAACGTTCACGCGTTTTCGCGCACACGAATGTGATGCTTGTAGCCGACGCAATGCTAAACGCGCGTCCCGCTGATAGCACACACACCGCGTTATCACCGCACGCACCGGTTGTTGTTGTGTTTTTTTTTTGCAACGCGAATCTTACTCTTCTGCAGTCCGTCGAAATGGTTGAAAACCGCACCGCTTGCACCGTGCCCCGCGCACAGGTACCCAGATCCACCGCTAGACCCTAGCAGCTGTCGACTATCCACTGCGGCCGCCCGGCGTCGCGACGCGCACGCTCCAGCATCCCCTGCTGCTCTCCTCCTACCCATCCGGCGGCGCGCGGTTTTGGCTCTCGCGCGCCCCCGGAAAACACGCGAAATTCGCCACGCGCGGTGGGCATCGCCGGCGCCCGCTAGCAATCAATGATAAAAACAGCAAAAATTGCCGCAGTTGCTATTCTTATCATCAACTGATAGTGTTTTAATAACGTTTACTTTTGCTTTAATAACATACCTGATACTATTTTACACAAAGTTGTCTTCAATATTCACAAGATGAAACAGTGCACATAAATTTGGACAACAAACTTAAATGGCGTCAGTTTGCAAAACCAACGCTTTAACTCAGCGGCAACAAGAGTACCAACTAAACAATTTGAACTTAATTTCAATTGGTTATGATCTCTGCTAAGATCGCTACAGCAGCGCCACCATTAGAAACTAAAGAACAGACAAAAATATTTAAAAACAATCACAAACCCAAATATAATAGATATTATAAAATTTAGGACAATATACATCTGTTTATAATATTTTGAATTATTTACACTAGGTACTTATAAATTCCAAGTAAATTAAAAAAATTTTGAAGACATGTTTATGAAGTTGCCAGCAGATGGTGCATCAAAATTTAAAATACTGGTTGGTAAGGTTGGTAAATCTACATTCTCAGCTTGCCAAAATGTTAACCTCTCAACTATTTTTAAATTTTCAGTAAACATCACAAAATGTTCTTAAATTCATCAACAAAACTTCTTAGATTCATCAACAGGCATCACATAACATATCTACGTTTTTTAACCAACGAAACAAATGCACAGAGCTTACTGGTAAACGTACTAGGTAATTTCATCTTTGTGTCCTGCCCAATGTTTTGATGACAATAAATAATAATAATTTATCTATACTTAGGCATGAACGAAAATGTTGCTCAACAATTCATAACTGAGCATAAAATCAATAATGTGGATTCCAATAAACTGAAAGACACTGTGGATTTCATTAAGAAACAGAAGTACAAAGTGAGTGATATTCTGAAGCATCCAAGGATATTTCAACAGCATGGAAATCACACATGGCAACACTATTATAACTATTTTACAGAATGTGGGTGTACTAAAGTACCTATCACCAATATTATTAAGTAAGAAATTTCATATTGTCCAAAGTATAAATTTAACCCAATATTCTCCTCAAAGTTTTAGAAGAATCAGATACACAGCCATTTCTGTCTTAAAAGACCTTGGAGTAATACCAAAAGATACTGTTGTAGTTGATAGTTTATTGAGTCAACTAGATATTACTATACCAGAAGATAAAGTTTGCAAGTTAAGAAATGATGAGTTGACTTTGTCCTATGTACACAGATCTGTAACACACAACTATTTAAGTAAGTGGAATAGCAATACTAACTTTAAATATCCAAAAACTATCTTTATATATTTTTAGTTACTAAATTGGGAGCAAAAATAGAAGATCTTGAAACAATAGATCGCATACATAAACATATATACAATAAAAGTCTAAAGACATTGTGTGAGAATGTTAATCTCGCCTTGGAAATTGGATTTTCCCCGGGAAAGATTCTCCGGAATGCTTACATACTGCAAGTGAATCCAGACAAAACCAGGGCAATCCTAAACGAAATTCCTAACTTTTTAAATTGTGATATGAGAGCTAAAATGAGAAGTTTTCCTAAGTTAATTGGTCAATCATTGGAAACCATTTACAAGATTCATGAAATATTAAAAGTAAGTTAACATAACTCACTTATTAACCAAAACATTGTCTTTGTCTTTTGTTGTTTTAGAAATTTAATATTTCTGATGAAACTGCCGCGAAAGTTATGAACATATTCACGCTGGCACCGCAAACAGTCGAAGCACGTTTGAATGATGTGAAAAGTACCCCTGAAACCCGCGTTCTGATGAATAACCCGCAGATATTACAACTAATTGTACACTATCACCGCGCTAAAAGTCGTCTACAATTCCTCCATAAAGTACGACTGAAGTGCGCGAGCCTTGTAGTCATCAGCTTTGATGGTAACGTTTTTGATAACTACATAAAGGAAGGCAAAGATATCAACAAGCGTTCGGAGACGAGCAATTTTCTATATTCGCTACTAAAATGCACCAAAGATGACCTCGAAGTCAACTTTAAAAGACATCCGTATTATCTATATGTGCCTTTCGTTGACATCGAGAATACGTATCGATATTTGAGACATCAGCAGTTCGCTAACCATCATATTATCAAAGCTATTAGTATATTATTATACCCAAAGTAAGATTTACCTTATTGAAAGAAATTATCCGATATAATGTGTATTTTGGTTTTGTTTCTAGAGAAAAGATTATCGATGTCCTGGAGCTGATCCGCGAAGATCATTATTTATCGTCGCGTAAACCACGCGTCAATAAATCGAAAATCCTAAACCTGGCTTTGTACTATCTCGAGAAGGATCATCACTTCACGGGGAATGGTATTTGGCGCGTCAACGAGGATTACGTGCAAACATTGCAGTGATATAAATATGCACAAGTTTAAGTTGTTTGAATTTATAAACATTTTTGACAAAATATAATCGCTATAGAAAACATTTAACTGGGCAATACCTACTTACATTATTTTTATTTTGCAGTCATTTATTTTATTATTTTCTCATTTCCTTCTCCTTTTCCAATTGCCTCTGAAAAATAAATAATTTGTTTAAAGTTAGTAAATTTATAGACATCAAAGAAATTTACCTTGACCTGGAAAACTTCCGTTTAATGCCCCTAGTGGGCCGATAACTATTAATGCTTGAACGACTCGTGTTTGGCGAATCATCCCAGTCATCAGCCCATAGATCCGCGTTTAAATCATTCATTGCAGTCTCCGCTTCGATTGCATCCACTTCACGCCTGTACTTTTGTGTTATTACTAAGAAGTCTTTTCCGTACTTTTCAAAGTTTGCCTTTGTCACATACTGAATTTTCATAAAATCAGCAGCTGTACCCGGCATCTCCTCTGACATGACTTTGATCGCCGATAAGTTCATAATTGAAGACAAGTTTGATTGTTGTTGAGCAGCAAATTCCGCCAACTTCTCCAGCAGTTCCTCGTGACACCTAACTTTCAACGCCCAAATGCGTTTTTCTGGTGATTTAGAAGGCGACTTCGACACTGTTTTATTCGCAACTCGTTTCGAGGTGGATGGTTCTATCTCTAGTTGCGGTTCGGGTTCCGGACTTGGTGGTGTCTCGATGAAATCAGGTACTTCATCTACCACAGGCACATCTGCCACCTTCTTACCTTTGCCAGTAATCGGAATGGTGAGAACAATATCAGACTTAAATAAATGATCATAATTGGGACCCGGCTGAACATAGATCACTGGAAACTCTCCGCTATATTCACACACGTCTTTCAGAACTTTTTTGAATGACAATTCCTTCATAATGCGATGTACATCGTTTTTGTTGAGATGCGCACCGGCGCCATACAATTTGTGCTTGTTGTGTTGGAAATCAATGATTTTCTTGACCTTTGCGCCTCGATACACGTCAACATAATGCAGCATCGTAAAATTCCGACGACTACCAATGTCGCGCACAAGTGTCGCTAATTCACGGGATTCTTTCGCAACATTCTGCACTTTAATCGTGCCAAAGTTCACGCAGTTGTCGCAGATGGTCTTCTTGTCTCTCATGCATAATTGTCGATTAAATTTTTCACCCAAGTGGAGAAGTTGGAGGTATCGTCGGCAATCTATACGATTTTCGCAGTATTGTGCCATTTGGGCCACCTGATCAAAGTGGCCTTCAAGGTTTTTCTTTGTTATTGATTTATCCACTGAAATTCATCAAAATATTAACTTGAAAATAATAATTACTAAAAAATCGTACTTCTGATAATTTTTTGTAACCTGACAACATCGCCAAAGGCATAAAATAGATAGGAATAAGCAGTTTCGCCATCTCGCCCGCCTCGCCCGGATTCTTGATAAAATGCTTCGAGCGATTTAGGCATGGAATTGTGTATCACAAAACGCACATCCGGTTTATCAATGCCCATTCCAAACGCAATAGTGGCGCAAATCACATTATACTCATTGTTCATCCATTGTGCTTGTACTTGTTCTCGCACTTTATCAGTCAAACCTATTATAAATTCATGAATTAATGTGAATAGTTTAATTCATAATTATAAATAAAAATATTTACCTGCATGATAACTTTTAGCTTTTATCCCGTGTTTTCTCAAATCCATTGCTAAAGTATCACAGTCTTTCCGCACTAAACAATAAACAATGCCAGACATTCTCTTAAAATTTTGCGCAATCAAATTAATAATTTCTTGAGTGGCCATTGCTTTAGTTTTTTCGAGCACTACATATTTAATATTCGACCTATTGAAACTCCTGATAAATGTTTTAACAGATTTCAATTTTAAGATATTAATTACGTCCTGTTGGACTACATTAGTGGCCGTTGCAGTCAGGCACATAATCGGTGTTTTGGGGAAGTTGGCTTTCAACGTCGTTAGTTGTTTATAATCTGGTCGAAAATCGTGCCCCCATTGTGAGAGACAATGCGCTTCGTCTAAAACAATACGCGCTAGTTTTCCACGCGAGTATAATCCTAGGAGCAAATCGAAAGTTGCGCGAGAGCCGATAATTTTCTCCGGTGTCAAGTAGAGCAACTTTATCGATGGTTCTAGTTGAGTCAGCGCGCGGACTACATTGTTATGGACATCTTTTGATATATCTGAACACATATGGGCGGCCGGTATCTATTGAATTAAAAATACAAAGTTTCTGCAATAAATCCAAACAATTTATCTATACTTACATCCAATGAGGTGAGTTTATTTACTTGATCGGTAATCAGCGCCCTCAGCGGCGAGATTACAACTGTAACGCCTGGAGTAAGAATGGCTGGTAGCTGATAACATAAACTTTTACCACCGCCCGTCGGCATCAACACAAAACAATCGTGCTGCTCCAAAGTAGCGTTGATAATTTCCTGTTGATTCGGTCGAAATTGTTTCAAACCGAATTTCTCGTGCAGAATCTCACGTAGCACCAAAGAATGCGGATATTCTCTTTGAAATGCAGCTAAACGCCCGAAAAAATTGTAATTTAGGAACAAAAGAATAATTTAAAAAATAAAGTGCATACCAGTATCATCCTTTCTTGTTTTAGAATCTTGATCGATCGGTACAAAGCCAGCTTCCTTCACAATATTCGAACTACTGGGCATATTATTCATTATATTAATAGAAGAGTTAAAATTCATTGAAGATGATGGCCCATCATCAAAGTCATCCTCAAACTCTGCATTGATAGAGTCATCTACATCAATAACATTTTTTGAAGTAGAAGCAACATTTCTTGAATTTGTATTGTTAGTTTGTGGATGAAATTCATCCACACCCAATTGTGAAAAATCAAAATCATCATCGACATAATCTGCGTCTGTTAGCACAAATTCTGCTTGTTTCTGTGAGTTGCTTACTATCGTTTTATCTGGATCTATATTCTTGTCTTTATTCCAGTCTTCCACCTCATCCCAGTCAATGTTTGACAAAAGAAATTCATTGTATTCGTCTGTTGATTTCAAACTTTCATCTTTTTTATTTGCAGTATCCGTTTCGATTACTTCTTGCGTCCGTGGCATCGACAATCTTTTCGGTAATATTTGAGTTTTAAACTCTGGTAGCGCTGGTACCTCTAAAGGTTTAGGTGCTAAATTTATTGAATGAGATTCATTTGTTTCAGAAACATTTCCGCTTCTTGCTAGTTTTGTTGGCGTTTGTGTTTTAAAGCCTTTTGATGACGTAAGTTGAGTGCTTGAGGCAGTACAGTAACCAGTGAAAGGATTTGAAATTATGTTTGGTACTTTTACCCGTCCAAACTGGAATATTTTTCGTGGTCCAGTATCAGCAGTACTACTTGAAGCAGTATTAACATGACTGCTTAAAGTTTTACTAGCTGGTGATGGTTGTTTCTTCTCTGTAACTTTTTCTGTTACACAAGTTGTTTTTGGGGTTTGGGATAATGCAATGCAATCATCATCACCAAAAACAACATCAAAGTCCAGGTCATCCATCCCATTAATTCTTGGTGTCACAGATGGTTTTGTTGAATTAAAAAATGAAGGTTTCTCCGAGTTTTTTCTTGATAAGTTACTCAATCTGCAATTATTGTATTATACTCCATCTTAAATACAGTTTACATTTACAAACTACAGCCAAAATACATATAAAAGTCTCACCTAGTGGATAATGATAAAGATGAATTGAGCTTTGAAGTATTATTAACTAAACTTGCAGTTCTGCTCGACACAACCTTGGTTAATTCACTTTCATTTCCATTACTAGTCCTCTTATTATCACTGAAACTATTACATTTTTTGTTGATAAAGTCATTCAGGGCGTTTTTATGTAGGTCTTCTTTATGTGTCCTCAAAAATTCCAGCTTTTTAGCGACACTCTCTGGCAGTTCCTTATTGTTTGATGATTGACTTGAACCACGTTTGCTTGTGAAAGCCTCAGACATCATCCACTAGAAAATATATTATATCCATAAAAACAGTGATATTTTCATTAAGAAATTGAAGAACAACAAATGGCGGGAAACTAAAAATAAATTGAAATGTGATTTTCACAACAATAACTACAATAATATTTACAATTATTATGAATGTCACTGCTACGTACCAAGCGTGGAAAACGAAGTTAAATATAAACACTTATTATTGACCGAAGTGAGTATAAAATTATTTAATATTATGGTTGTTAACCAACAGAACTAAACTGGCACAAACAAAGATAACCTCCAAATGTGCTGTAATTTGAAAGAAGTAAACAGCGCTTTGGCGTGGTGAAAACGACAACTAATTTTTGAAATGTTCAAAAGTTTCTATAACTTTTAACTAATTTCTACTAATGCCCGTAATTAATAAACGCAAAACTCATTAATTATATTATCAATAATAATATATAAGTAAAAATTAGAAAATTGGTACTTTATCAAACTATACCAACTATATTTTTTGTTTCTGACACATATTATGCTAATAGCCTAATATTTTTTCGTTGAAAATCTATTTGCAACAGGTAAAATATATTTCTGCCTAAATTAAATAATACTTATAGATAATAGACGTAAGATTAAAAAAGAATTCATTAGATATTCTGCTTGTTTAAAATTCACATAAAGAAGGTTTTAAAATTAAAAAAAATTGTGATTAATTTAAATTCCGAAACATTGCCATACAATTGCTTGAACAGTGCGAAATTCAGAAGTTAGCAGGTTAGGAACGAAGCCAACGAGCTCATGGTCATCGTGAGACCGTGACTGGCCGGCAGCAGGCAGGATCGCGCAGGAATAGCGAGAGCTCAACACGACCAAGCGAACAAACGCATCGCAGGATCGTGTCAGTCGTATTCAGTGCCGCCGCGATCTTGGCAGCGAAAGCAACGCTTGAGTGTGCGCTCCTCCACATCGCAGGAATAAAACGCTCGACACTGCAGGAAATACACTGCAAACGCGAATCGATCTCATAACATACGCGCCACGCGCCTATAAAATTCTTAGAATTTCACCGCGAAAAATAACACTGCTGTGTTGTCAAACACAAACCATAAACGGAAACGCATTGTGCCACGAACAGACATAAACTGATCGAATTGTGCGTGTGCAACAATTAATTAATCCAATCAATAGCAGTCAACATTAAAATCGGTAAGAAACATTTTCATTGAAACACGTGTTTTGCATCTTTCAATGCAGCAGGAAATATTTAGTTCTAAAATAAAGTTTATTGAAGTATTTATTGAACTGGGTTCTAGAACTTTAATATTTTCTATTTTCTAAAATGAGGCTTGTTTAAATTTCTCATTTGTGTACTTTAATTTAGTTTGATTGATTTAATAGGCAAAAGTTTACATTACTTTAATTTATGATAGTTTTAGTTTGCAAATAGAAAATTTTCTATCGATTTTTCGCTTCCGTCTCCGATCGCGGTTTCATTTTACGCACAGCATGACAAAACTAGGTCTATTTAAAGAACTATTTACTGTACAGCGATGTGCTTTAAATTCTTTAGGTCATGCCAGCCAAACTGTCGATATGTTAAATTTCCATATTGAAAAATGTCACACTTCCAGTAGAAATGCATATTTAACATTTTAAAATTAATGGAATTAAAATTTATTCAAGTCGTAAAAAGTTTAAGAATTATTAGTAATTACTTAAAACCAATAGTAGATATACTCATCAAACACACAAATTATGGTAATGTGTAATAAAAGTTTTATGATGGCAGGCTACCAACTGAACTTGTTACTATTTAATGAGTTGTTATTCTAGGTTAAGGTCAGCGAAACTTTACCTCGAATAATCGAAACTTAAAAAGAGAAATTGTTTAGACGGGTTAATGCACTTAAAACAATTATGACTCAACAAATTATTTCCACATATTAATTTTTACAACCTCAACATTTAACAACCGACCTAATTAAATTTACTTATCGCAAATACTCGTAAATTAACAAAACTAATAGTTTAAGTGTTAGGAAAGGTTTAGAAAATCGATTTTTATGTTTTATAGAATAAATATTAATAAATTAGTTCCGATTGTTTGCTGTGTTATGATACCATTTGGAATATTCATTGTTAAGTGTTGAAACCACAAAGCATTATTGTAGTGTTAAGCACCTACTTTCCTGTTTGCAACGATTATATCATAAGGTGATTTAACATTTTTGATTCAATGCCAATTTTCATCCTTGTTTTGATTCAATATTTTTGGCAAATTGCCATATAGTCATTCACGAACACCTACTAGGTGCAGGGGAGTATTGTACACGTGTTTAAATCTACTTATAGACTCTAAAAGGGTTTGACCGATTTTTATGAACTTTTAAGGCAATTAATTAACCTAACGGGTTATCCTGAGAAGTTTGATAGGAAATATAATTTTGACTCAATAAAGGACACCTCGTCGAGAAAAACAATAAATGCTACATAACATTTTATGCATTATTAAATTATTAACATGCAAAGCCTCGACAGACTGCTAGTATCATAAATTAGTATCATATGATAATGTGTCAATAGCAGCGATGCCCCAGAAACAATAATTTGTTATCAAATAATTGGTAAACATTATTCCAATATATGCACAACGCATGTTATTCTATCTACTTGCGTTTGTTAGCTTTTGAAGCAGAATGACGCTCACTGCAGTTGCTGCAGTTTTAATTCGTTGATAATAACTTGATTACCGGCAGCAGCATTGAAATTTAACACCAACATAGTGGCAAATCACAGGCAAACAATAACAACAGATAATGACAATTATTCACTGTTTACGCTATACACTTTACGTTGCCATTATTTTCAAACACATTCTTTGTTGACTAGCGCTCTTAAAATAGAAATAGTAAAAAAAATTATGTGCGCTAAATCATCTAGAACGTGTACTGTCTGTAAAAATCCGTGTATTTGCAACGATTGTGATTCACTTGTAGAAAATTTGTTATTTGTTGCGATAATAAAAGTAATAGTAAAAAATTAAACATTTTTTACTTTAAAGTTTTACTATTTTGGTGAAAACTAAGAAAAAAAGTAGAAGTATGAGATTTATGCAGGTGGAGTTAAACAAAATTTAAGTAGGCTATTAAAGCGTTAAATTATCCATAGAACTCCGCACGAAATTACAGAGAACAAAGGATTGTTACGAGGTTACGTCATAAATAAAGTTCAGTTTACAATTGTATCGTGCACGTTGCAGTATTTTATCCAGCTATACATTTATACGCTGAAAAATCATCACAATATAATCATCAAAGTTTAATTTGAATAAAATTGCGAATATTCTATTTATTACCTTGCGAATGTAATTTGCGCACGATGATAAAATTGCGTAATTGAATTGTTCACATTTTAACGTTTGAAATAATTAGTATGTACATTCTGGTTTATCACGCTTCGTTTACATTTGATTAAAGTATACAATTCGCTTGTTACCGCATACAAAATGTAATCGTTGGCAATTGAACTGATAAAATCGATTTTCCAAACAAGCGACTCCAATTTCCTATGGCTTAAAATAAATCTTCATTTTCTTTCTGATAAATTACTTTTGCTCATATAATGCTTTGTATATTTACATTGTCATTGTATGTTTTAATACATGCACAAATATTCTATAACATGTTCCTTTGTAGCTTATTGATGGAAAATATTTTTACAGGTGTGTAAACTTGCAAAATAAAAAAGCAGTGCAAGTTTTTAACGGTCGGTCGTAAAATTTTAGTAGCGACCCAGTAGTCGTGATACATGAGTTCGTCGAAGTGTTTCAGCGACGATGGATAGCGAGAAGGCGAAAAAGGATCGAAAGCGGAACTTGAGGGAAAATACAAACCCATTATCAAATTTAACTTTTTGGTGAGTACAAAAATAAAATATAAGGTTTTTGAACTCCAATGTTTACACTATCAGTCAATGAAAAATATTTTCGACTTTACAATTCAATGAACTATGAATTGAAGTATGTTATTGCGTGATAAACTTTTAAAAAGCAAAAAAACTAAAATCTTAAAAAGGTTACTGTGTTGACAAATGAAATAAACTCGAGCAATTGAGAACAGAACAACTCTTAAATCATAAAACTACTGAAATGACATAAAATAAAAAATATTTTATTATTATTGTCGAAGTGTTTACCGATGGTAAATTTCCTATGTCAATAAGTAGTTATCAACCTGCACTGTTTGTTCGATTGACGTTTGAGTATTTACCAGTTTACAATACTGGTAAATATTTGTACGTTCTACAAATTAAACCAAAAACACAATTCCCACAAATAGTGACATGACAATTTTCTAGAACAAATAATATTTTCCAGTTACACAATACCAACATTTTACAAAGGTCTAAGACATGACCTGGACGTTGCTGATCTCCCAGAAACCCTCACTGACCACCAGTCCGCCGCCCTAGGAGACAGGCTCGAAGCCGTCTGGAACAATGAAGTGGAAAAGGCCAAAGCGGCAGGGCGCACGCCATCTTTAATGCGCGTTCTACGCCGCGTCTTTTTTCTACGATTTTTAACTTATGGAATCATCTTAGCTTTCGGTGAATTTGCTATTAGGTAAGTGGAAAACAACTAAAAAGAAAACGAAATCAAAATAAACACTGTAGAAATAATGTTTAGAATAGTGACACACCATCCACACATATTTACATTGGTCGTTTCTGTTTCTCTTTTCTATCCTGAAGAATGATTACTTGTTAGATTAGCACAGCCGGTGTTTCTCGGTAAGGTGGTGCGATACTTCACCGTCCCCGAGGCGCGATCCGTGCAGAGCCTCAACGTTTACGGCATTGGAAATTACTATCCGTACAATGATTTTACCGTTGAGGAGACAACCACTAGTCACGCCAATTCCAATGAATCCATCACGTAAATAATCTGAAAAAAATGTGTCAGAAGAGTGTGCTTTATAGAAACCTGTACTTGCCTGTTATTTGAAGTGTGTAGAATATGGTAAAAAGGTTTTTCCAGAGTGCTAACAAGAAACAAACACAGTCCAAACGCGTCTAAGTCTAGAATTTTAATGATTAACATGTTTACATTTGTGTTTCGCGGTTTTCATAACAAAATATCGCCTGATCGGAAAATATTTTTTATAAAATTGCCTAAAATTTATTATTTTCTTTAGGCTTGTACAACCTTTGGCCCTTGGTCAACTAGTTTCCTACTATACAAGTAATCCAAATGATATAACCCGTGATGAGGCCTTTATCTACGCCGCCGCTGTGGTGATGTGTTCGTTACTGAACATCTTTTTTATCCATCCGTACATGATGGCGTCCGTCCATCTTGGAATGAAAATGCGTGTGGGTTGTTGTTCCTTGATATATCGCAAAGCCTTACGATTAAGTAAAACCGCCCTTGGTCAGACCACAATCGGTCAAGTGGTTAATTTACTTTCGAATGATGTCAACCGATTTGATGTTGCCGTCTTATTCGCCAATCAGCTTTGGATCGGACCTTTGGAGACAATAGTCATTACTTATCTTATGTATCTTCAAGTTGGCATTTCGTCGGTTATCGGTGTTGCTAGTATGTTGGTAGTTATACCAATACAAAGTAAGTTAAACAGTTATATTAAGAGTAATCTGAAAATATTTATAATTATTATTTTGCTTAGTTTATTTGGGAAAAAGAATGTCGGTGTTGCGTCTGCGAACAGCTCTGAGAACCGATGAACGCGTTCGTTTAATGAATGAGATTATTTCTGGCATTCAAGTGATCAAAATGTACACCTGGGAGAAGCCATTTACCTATTTGGTTTCATTATCGAGAAGGTAAAATATACATAACCGAAATTAACATTAATTAACTGCAATATTCATATTTATTTAGGTTTGAAATTAAATCTGTCCGTGGGACATCATACATACGTGGTATTCTACTATCATTTATCATGTTCAGCACAAGAATTTCTGTCTTTCTGACGGTTTTGGCTTATGTCATGTTCGGACACAGAATATCAGCTGAACAAGTTTTTGTTCTGACATCTTTTTATGGTATTCTAAGACAAAACATGACTGTATTTTTCCCTCAGGGAATAGGGCAAATCGCTGAGGCATCTGTGTCTATTCGCCGATTAAATAAATTCATGCTTTATGAAGAAAAAGTTGCTCCAGATGATGATAAAAAATGTCAAAATGGCGTCGATAAGAAAAAGAATGAAGCAACATCAGGATCAGATAGGAAAGGAATTTTTGCAAGTCAATTAACAGCAAAATGGCTGTTAGACCATACTGATAACACTCTTTCAAATGTTACACTTGAAGTAAGACCCGGAAAACTCCTCGCGGTTATTGGACCAGTTGGAAGTGGAAAATCTAGTCTGCTACAAGCAATTCTTAAGGAATTACCCGCAATTTCAGGATCAATTGATGTTTGTGGTGAGATTAGTTACGCCTCCCAGGAACCCTGGCTCTTTGCTGGTTCTGTGAGACAAAACATACTGTTCGGTCTTCCCATGGATAAACAACGCTATCGGTTGGTCGTAAAACGTTGTGCACTAGACCGCGATTTTGAATTATTTCCGTATGGTGACAAAACCATCGTGGGCGAACGCGGCGTTTCGCTTAGTGGCGGCCAACGCGCTCGGATTAATCTCGCGCGGGCTGTTTACAAGGAAGCAGATGTTTATCTTCTCGATGATCCCCTATCAGCGGTCGATACCCACGTCGGAAAACATCTGTTTGAGGCGTGCATCGCGGGATATTTGAAATCTAAAGCCGTAGTGTTAGTAACACATCAATTACAATACTTAAAAGAAGCCGATCAAATTATCATTCTGGAAAATGGTAACGTCATGGCGCAGGGGACATTTGATGAATTACAAAACAGTGGGTTGGATTTCGCAAAATTACTACAAAAAGAATCAGAAAACTCCGAGAACGCTGAAGATACACCGACTAAAAAAATGGTCACAAGAAATGATTCTATTCAAAGCATTGCTTCCGAGACTCAGAAAGAACCTGAGGAAGTTCAAGAACAACAAAATACTGGAACCGTGGGAGGATACGTTTTCCGGCAGTATTTTAAAAACGGCGGCGGGTACTGCTTTGTGTTCATCGTATTTCTGCTCTTCTTTTTGGCACAGATTGCTGGAAGTGGCGGTGACTACTTTATAACCTACTGGTAAAAAAATATTTCAGAAATGAACATCTTAATTTATTCTTATATTGATTTAATTCTACTTTCAGGGTCAATCTCGAACAAATCCGTTACGATTCAAGTAATGGCACGCTAGACTCGTTAAACACTATAAATAATCCATACTACATCGATCTATCAACCATGACATGCATTTACATTTACACCGGCATCTCGATCGCTACTATTATTATTTCCATCGTGCGTTCATTCGCCTTTTTCGAAATGTGCATGAAATCTTCGATTAATCTACATGACAATATGTTTAAATCAATTACACGCGCGACGATGTATTTTTTCAATACGAACCCAAGCGGTCGTATCTTAAATCGCTTCTCAAAGGACATGGGCGCCATTGATGAACTGTTACCAAGTGCTCTTATCGATTGTTTACAAATCGGCCTTACTCTCATTGGTATTGTGGTGGTTATTGGAGTTGTCAACCCATTATTACTGATTCCTACGAGTATTGTGGGATTAGTTTTCTATGCCATTCGAATTGTCTATTTGAATACCGGCAGGGCTGTTAAACGATTGGAAGCAGTTAGTAAGTATCAAGGGAAATTTACGTCGTAGTTATTTACAGAACAAAATTTGTTTATTTAGCGAGGAGTCCTGTATTTTCACATTTGAACGCATCTCTACAAGGATTAACCACCATTAGAGCTTTCAGGGCTCAGAAAATTCTGGAAAAAGAATTCGATGTTCATCAGGACCTTCACAGTTCTGCTTGGTTCCTATTTCTGTCTACTTCAAGAGCGTTCGGCTTCTACTTAGACATAGTGTGTGTGATATATATCGCGATTGTTACCTTGAGTTTTCTATTATTAGGAACAGGTAAGTCTTAATATTAATAATTGATTACTATCTCATTTTATTGGTATTTATAGAAAATTTCGGTGGAAATGTGGGTTTAGCCATAACTCAAGCCATAGCCTTAACTGGTATGTTCCAATGGGGCATGAGACAATCTACAGAGTTAGAAAATCAAATGACATCAGTTGAAAGAGTGCTCGAGTACAGCAATTTGGAATCAGAGCGTGAATTAGAAACGAAAGACTCGTTGAAACCGAGAGATGACTGGCCAAACAAGGGTGCGATAGTATTCGATCACGTCTACTTGCGTTACAGCCCCATGGAACCTCACGTTCTAAGGAATCTAAACTTCAGCATCGCGCCTAAAGAAAAAGTGGGAATAGTTGGTCGTACAGGTGCTGGAAAATCTTCATTGATATCCGCACTGTTCCAACTTACAGAAACAGAGGGAATCATTGCCGTGGACGGTGTTGATGTCCACGGCCTCGGGTTGCATGACCTACGATCTAAACTAAGCATCATCCCACAAGAACCGGTACTATTTTCAGGAACAATGCGTAAAAACCTCGACCCCTTTGATGAGTATACCGATCTGGTACTCTGGAAGGCGCTGGAGGACGTCGAACTTAAAGATGTTGTCTCTGACTTGCCGGCAGGTCTTAATTCGATAATGTCTGAAGGTGGAACGAACTTCAGCGTTGGTCAACGACAGCTAGTTTGTTTAGCTCGTGCGATTATTAGAAATAATAAGGTGTTAGTGTTGGATGAAGCGACTGCGAATGTAGACCCGCATACGGACGCGCTTATCCAGACTACAATCAGGAAAAAGTTTAAAGATTGTACGGTGCTTACAATTGCGCACCGATTGCATACTGTTATGGACTCGGATAAGGTACTGGTGATGGATGCAGGCACGATGGTAGAATTTGGGCATCCGCACATCTTATTGAAGAACCACAACGGGTTCTTATTCAAGATGGTGGAACAGACTGGGAAAGCCATGTCGGAAACGCTTGGGAAAATCGCCGAACAGGTAAAATTAGGTCATTCTAAACTGTTAGAACAGAAAATAATTATCTTTTTTATAGTACTACAATCGGCATTATTTGGATACTGTCGCGGAAGAGGATAACAAGTGATATTCTAACAGAAAACAAATTTAAGCTGAGTAAACAAATTGTTACCGTGCTATTTTAAAATATGAAAATATTTTATATACTGAAATGTTCCAAATCAAAAGTCACATTTGGAATGTTTCACCACTTTGAACAAGAAACATGTTTTTAAAAGTCGTGAAATATTTTTTATAATATTTATTACAATGATGGTACTATTTTTCATGTGAATAGTAGTTTCAAATGAATGTTTCAAACTATCGAGAAATAGTGTGAAATCAAACTTGTTGCTATAATTATATAAAATATTTTTTAATAAAAAAAGTTTCAAATACTCGCAAAGGCGTGGTAGTTTAACCCATGTGTGGAGCAAACTTAATTTCAATCGGTTACCTGTGTTGTGACGCTTCAGCTGTTTCGGTGTAAGTCTTATTAGTTTCTGGAAAGTGTACACACCTTATACCCCTCTGTTGGGCAGATCTTTCACCTTGTAGATGCGAACCAACCAATGCTCAGTGGTGTACGCTTCTTCGAGTACATCTAGCTCGAAATCTTTGTTACCAATTTCGGCACTGCGGACTCTATCATAACCAGGTGGTTTACCACCTTCAGTGTATACCTGCCCGAATCTATAATAGCACATCTTATACATTAAACAATTCAGTAATGTTGACGATCCTTCCTTATCAACTCTAAATTCTCCATTGGAGCTGTAATAATCCCACTCCTTGATATGCGCCCCCTTTTCAGTACTGCCTCCAATACGCACCATCCACAGGAACTTGTTAATGTCATCCGAGGAATACCCCGTCAACCCACCAAATATTACCAAAACATAATCGACGTCCAACTCTTTCATAATCTCATAAGCTTTTTCCTCCGAACTGGCCATGGCTTGTCCCACGCGACTGATATGCGTATTATTCCAAGTGTTGTTATCAACCAAAATAGTCCTATTCGCCATCGCAGTTATTTGATATCCGTAGTCCCACCATGACATAATACGCGCATCTTCCGGCGTGTTCATCTTTAACCAATAGTAGGCCTCGCGGAAATCGTCGAAGATAATACGCCCGCCATCGTGGGACCTGGCGCTTAGCACAATACTTGGCGAACTGTAAGCTTCCGAAGTAACCCATGTACAGTGGAATGTATATGAAATAAGCAGCATGCAAGTTATCGAGACGTAGAAGAATGACACCTTGTTCTTCATGTCAAAATTCGATTCCAGTTTGTTTTTATTCTTCTTGTGTTCAGTGCTTTTACCTGAATCCGTGTTCTTAATAAATTTAGTCAGCAAATGCGAGACTGCAATGCCGCTAAGAATGCACATTACTGGTGCGAGGACCAGCATCAAACGAACCATTACTCCCTATTTAAAATAAATCGAATGTAGTATTTTTGAACTTTTGTACAATTATTATTTTGATACTTACAGCAAAATAAATACTTGTAACCCCATAAAGGATCAAAAATATATTGGAATCTGTGAGATTCATGAAACAGAAGTACAAACCAGCAGGGAATAAGAAAACCAAGATTTGTAAATCAAAATAGAATGAACTCCAAGAGGTCGGTTGATGTTCGGAAACAGAGGCAATAATAGGAATGTGGTTTTTCGCGTAGGAAGGATCCAGCAGAGAGTAGAAACGTCCAGTCCATGGAGAAATCTTTCCAGAATACGTTAAAACACCGAGGAATACACCTAAAAGCGTGCCTACAGTGTATAACAAAGCCGTAAAGAGCGTTTCAAAGTCTTGCGGTGACAGACGACATCTTAAATAGTCAACGCAGGTCATTATTTGACAGAGGCCAAAAACTCCAAGAGCCTAAACAAAAAATAATATGTTTTTCGTGTCTTGTTTAACTATAAATAACTTACCAACATATGCTCAGAACTTTGAACAGGTTGAAATCCAACGAAAGAGATCTGCATACTCAGAATCGTACCAACACAATACAAAGTACTGTATGCTACATAAATCCGGTGCGAAAATCTCCCGGTAATCATTAACGTAAGCACATGAAGCGGGATTAAATTGATGAGAAACACGTAACCACCCCAAGACGATACCTATTAATAAGAACATCACAATAACGGAACAAATCACAAGACAAATTACCAAACAAATAGATTATATCATTAATATATACCATGTAGAAGTAAGCTAACGCTGTCAAAGTGCCCCAGAAGATAGTGCCGGTTTTAACGGCCTTGATCCACATATAATATGTAAGCAACATACAAAAGATGGCAATTCCCTCGTTATCATATGACCCGGCAACTGATCGACTGATGTAGCCGGGTACAATCGACACCATTGCGGCCGCCACCAATCCAGCTCCAGAGTTTTTGATCTCTTTCGTTAGCAAGTACGTGATGATAGTTGTAAACGACGAGAAAAGCGGTGCGAGGAACACGCAAACATTGCGAATGTCGATGCTGATGTTGAAGAGCCAACAAATGCGGTAGAATACCGCTGATGTCACCATCAAGCCAGGATATATTGTTCCTATAGGATTATATTCATTAATATTCTTTTTATAAAACTATATTTTTGGAAAAATTGCATACCTCCAATAATCCTGCCCAGTGGATACCATGCCCTATCATCAAACCAATTGTGAAATGAATAGAAACCCTGTTCAGCAAGGTATTTAGTTGTTCTATAGTTGAAGTAAGGATCAAACTCATGAATAACACTCTCAAAGCGTAACACGGAGAATAATCTGGTGGCAAATGCTACAATAATATTAAAAATATTGGTATTCACTTGTTTTCCATGTTAATTTTTGTTTATACTTACATAAAATTGCAGCAACAGTTAAAATGGAAAGTGTTAACAATTTCTCTTGTTTTTCTCCAGTGGTAGCCACTGGCTTTTTGTTTGAATTTGTTGAAAACATTCTAATAAATAATGTAAAACAAAATTTAGAACGATTATTGTCTTTTGTGATGTTACAACTGCTACCTACCTGCAGTGTTTGCTGTTGTAGCTGATAGGTTAGAGAAACAAAAATAGAAAATATACGTCTTATAACTAGTAAATGTAAGATTTTTATGTTGTAATTCTTCGATGCACTGGTTTTACACAAGTAAGTGGCGGAAATTAATGGATCTTTAACGTTTTAAACGCATTTTGACAAGATTTACTATTGTGGAAATTAGTGTAAACGTCACGCACGCCGGCTTTACCGGGGGGAGTAAACTGGATTAAACGCTGTAGCGTAAAACGGTAGGCAACTTGTAATACGTCATGTGTGAGCGTTCTATTGGCCGCAAATTAAACATGGCATCCTTAAACCCGCCCTCAAAATTTTTAAATTATTAATAGTTTATCGATGTTTTGCAAATAAATTACACTAAAAAGTAACGTAATAATATTACAACTATTTAGAGTTGCTGTTTTTCTGTTATTATCGTTTAGAGCGCATTCCGAAATAGTATTGCCATGCTATTAAGATTAAATTTCGCAAAACTGCTAATAATCACATTATGAATTGGCCAAGACCGAGAAATGCTATTAAAGAACCTTCATATACTTCAAAGTAATTACCATTTCGTGTAAATAGAATTGATTTCATGTTTGATAAGTCCAAGTGTGCATTGTTAATTAACAGCTGTAATTAAATAGACTGATGCTGATTGAAAATGATAAATTGTGCGTTGTTGCACTCGCGTGTTGCGTGCGCGAAGGGTTGAGCGGGTTGAACCCCGCTCCGCCTGCGAAAGAAAGGCAACAGCAGGGATAACAGAAAGAAGCGGATTACGCCCGCTTGCGGTTCACACACTGATTTCTCATTTCAGCGCAACGCTACCACGCGGTCGGTGGAGTTCGCCTTTGAGCTTGTGTGCAGCACTGGAGTAGTTGGACTTGAAGCTTCAGCTTGCGGTTCATTTCAGGCAGCGAAGTTAGTTCGGCGAGAACTTTTGCGTCGGAAGGATCAAAAGCTAAAAAGAGTGCGACTTGATAAAACTTGACGCGAGACTAATTTAATTAATTGAATTACACCACTAATTTGCAAAGATAAAAAAAACATAACTTAGTTTCAAAAAAAATTTGAAAATGAATGTGAAAACTGCGTTTTTAATAATTTTGTGTTTAAATTTTGGATTTTCTGGCGCAATTAAATGGTTGTAAGTATAAAATGTATTTTTATAAACTAATATTTTATTTATGTTGAGTGTTTGGTTGCCTATACCGCTAAAAACATAAACAAATGACTGTTCAAACAGGCGGCACTTTAACGCTACGCAATTTGCACATTGGTGCTAAAAAGCTCTTCAATTAAAATTAATAGTGGCATTTCCTTATTATCCCAACTCTTTTGTTTCATTCAAACATTTTCTTCGTAAGAATAAGAAGTTAAACATTCTTTTGTTTTGTTTACGTTTGTTTACACTGCGCTTTTACGTGCGCCGCTCGAGCACGCTCATCAATTACAACTTCATTAACGTTAATTAAAACAGACGAAAATGGTTTCACCTGTTCGCGGGTCGTGAACGAAGTTTTCAAGAACGAGACAATGAAGGAACGTCCGAATGACAGGCATGATAAAACACCAGAATGATGGAATGTGTGTTGCGTTAGTGATTACACTTCACAAAGATGGGTGTGTGCATTTTTTCTCTCCTAATTTCCAACTACAAACATTTTTTCTTTTGTCGAGTCAAGTCTACACACACCACACTCGAGGTGGATTTATCAGTGACAATGTCGATCATAAACAAGCAAACCAAAACTTAACTTTTTTTAACTTTTGACTTTATGAGAGAAGATTATTACTTATTAAAGGATATTATTCTGTCATATGATAGCTTCAAATTGAATAGAATAGAATTGGACGATGCATATTTTAATATTCAATTCTATGCTGGTGTTCAGGATGTATAAATATTAGAGCGGGAGGATCCCATTGTCATCGCAAGGTGGAGTCCGATTTTTATTTGATGCGACGCGATGAGACACCGCAGACAGCGCAAACGCCTTACCTTAGCGTCTTTTTGATGTAAGCCGCTTAGTGTTGGCGTTAATTAGCTTACACCGGACGCATCACCGCAGTCATAACATGCGCGCAGTGCAATTTATGATGTTTTATATATTTTAAATAAATATACCTACATTCATTTTGAAAAATAACTTTCTCTCTCTCAATACTAGTACCAACACAATTAGAAATAGTTGTTAACATAAAAATTGCATAGGTGTAAACAGTTTCGCTATTTAAGGTGGTTTTCTTGTTCCATGTTGTCACATCAAATTATATAGCCTTGATGACTTTTTATCGTTTGAAAGCTAATACTAGGAAATATTAATGGTATTGGTATTTTTAAAAATTTCTCATTTTCTCATTCATGAGGTTGATTGTGTTGCCACAGCCGCGACGAATTGGGCGTTTATTGAGTTTGCTCCAAACATGAATGGCACTTTTTGCTCAGACACGTTGTGCCGACGCTGATTCCACGCTCGTTTCTTCAATCCTCACATCCTTCACATGTTTTTCTTGGTTCATTCACTTGTTTCTGTCTAATCGAAAGTTCGATTTCTCAGTAATTGCAACATTGTTTCGTGTTCAATCTTGCCCCGATGCGAGTCTAATTTGAAACTTCCCATCGCCGTTTTCGTTTTTCTCATAAATAAAAGTGCTTTTCGCTGAAAAGTGCGACTCGCAAAAAAATGTGATTAAATATTTGAACGACGATTAATGCGGCCGAGCATCCGAGGGGTGGCGTGAATGCGGCGCGATAATGCCGCATGATATTTAACGATCAAACATTTTTTCTTCGTTTTTGGGTTACTGTCGAACGCCGCGCAAAGATGACAACAAAAAACATTGATTCAATCGATAATAATGTGTGTTAAAACAAACAAAAACACTTTGCATAGAAAATTGCTCATAAATATTCAAACCAGTTGATATTTTCAGTAGAATGTGTTTAAAATCATAGAATTTTAATATTTTCCTAACGAAAAAATGTTGATGGAATGTAGATGCAACTGTAAAAAGGAAAATAATAAATAAAATTCTTAAAAAAGCGTGGAAAAGAGCAAAAAATCCCCCGACACAAGAAGGGGCCGTCAGTCTGGCACCTAATAATCGTCCAGCTACACCTGTAATTAAAGAGGGTGCTGCCTTCTTTCCCATACGTATACATGATTACACGATACGCTTTCATTTTCGCCTTTACAACTCCGACTCTTTGATTTTACCTGTGGCACTCCAACGCGTGAATTTATTTCATTTCTTATTTCTTATTTTATTAAAGAAAAGAAAATATAAATCAAACATGTGAGTTGAAACGATGTGTGTGTGTTAAAAATTTATCTACTTTGTATCTTGTTGTAGATCTTTGCAAAACTCGCATCTCGTTTGGAATCACGGCGTAGGTGGAATGGGAGGCAGTGTTAGCGGAGGGTCAGAGGGAGGCGGCGGTCGAGGCATACGGTCGGGCGTCAAGTCGCCGTGCTCGATCGCGCGCCGTCGCTACGGGCTGGCCAAATTGCAGACGAAATTATGCAGGAGCTCGATGGACGCGATGCCCTACGTGCAGGCGGCGGCGGCACTTGCCGCCGAGACGTGCAAGGCGATGTTCAGCGACCGCCGCTGGAATTGCACCTCCATCGACACGGCGCCTTTCCTCACACCGGACCTCACCAGAGGTAGTATGCAATTTTCACTTCGGCGCTTTTCATTCGACCGCAAACTGACACAAAACAACCGCTAAGAATTGCCACAACGCACACACAAGGTGCGATGCAAATTCATAAAGTTCCCAAAACAATTGAAAGTATCACATAAATCACAAAGCTACAAAATTAAAAACAGTTGCCTATATTAATAAAACATTATTTAAATTTTATATAGGCTAAAATTTATATTAAAAAAATATTTTAGTCGAATTTTGAAAACATTTGGTGTTTTCCAGGATGTTTTTGTGATAGCAAGCTTTCATTACGTAAAACCACGCGCAAATTTCAACTTTTAAACGAGATCCTCCCTTTCAGAGTAGATCGAGTAAACATTTTAAAGTAGTGCTTTGTATATTGTGTTGCCTATACGTGTTTTTCACTTTCCTCTATCTTTACCTCACAAAAAACAACAAATAATCATCCCTAGAGTGAAACCCAGGACCAGACCTGGCATTCCTGCCGATATGAGTTTGTGTAATCAGCAATAATCAACCCGACTACACTGTTTCTGCTATTCCACTCAACCACCCCCGCCGCCGGCCGCGCACATCGCAATACAATTTCCACAAGCAAATAAGCACCCAGCGCACCGTCGCGCCGCCCCAAAGGTGGTTGTTTCATGCTGCTCCCCAATTTAGATACGGTGGGTTTCCCCAGCCGCCGCGCCAGCGTCAGCAGTTATTCCGGTCACGCTTGCCGGAAGTAATTTCCAAATATCCGATAAAAATCCCCAATACATACAAATAAAAAATCTACCCCGTTTTTTGATGATTGTGAATGAAGCATCCCAAAACAAACAAAAGAACTCCGGTAAAGTCTCTTAGGAATCATCTCTTTTGCGTTTGCAGTAAACAAAATATTCTCAGTACCTAAATGTACGCATTCAAAATGGCTAACCCTATAATTCTTGATTAGAAGATTGCGGCCATTTACAGTTCGTTTACTTTTGATGTGATTAAGGGTGTTTATCTTGAATGCGCGCAGAATAATCAATCGACGATGGCATTGTCTAACATTCTTTCGCATTCCACGCACGCGGGACGCAGCGACGCGCGAGCAGGCCTACGTGTACGCCATCAGTTCGGCGGCCATCACCTATACAATGGCGCGGGCGTGCGCCAGCGGCAACCTCTACCAGTGTGCGTGTGCCGTGCCGCCGCGCGAGCCCCCCATGGGCAACTTCAAGTGGGGCGGCTGTGGCGACAACATCAAGTGGGGCATGCACTTCGCCAAGCGCTTCGTCGATACCATCGAAAAGCAGAATGCACGGAAACCGCCCGATGGTGAACCGGAAGATAAAAAGATCTCCGCCAAGATGCGTACTTACACGGCGGCGGTAAATTTACACAACAATAAAATTGGCCGAAAGGTATACCGCCAAAAAAACTAGTCTACCCACAAATTTAATCTACCAATATTCCGCCATTTTTTGATTTTAGGTAATAGGTGAAAGCTTATCGACGCAATGTAAATGCCACGGTGTTTCCGGTTCCTGCAGCATTAAAACGTGCTGGCGGGCGATTCCGGATTTGCGAGCGGTTGGAGAGCGTCTCTTGAGACGGTTCACGAACGCTAAAGAGATACAAAAGTCCTACATGGTGTTCGAGAATGATATACCGGAAGTACCGGTTCGGCGTTCAGTCTCGGATCAATTGGTGTTCCTAACCAAGTCGCCGGACTACTGCACGAAGGACGAACGTCTGGGCAGTATCGGAACCACTGGCCGGTGAGTTTTTGTTTTTATTTTCAAACTGCACACAGCCAACTGAGACCATTCGAGAAGTTTTTTGGCTTAAATGCCATCACGCTCGAGACATTCCAAGGTCCGAATAACGAACCATTAATGATATATAATTATCTTGAAAGTTAAATGAAATGGACCAACAACCAGAAAGACAAATGAAATGATACATGGTGATTTAAATTATACAGAGTGAATAAAAACAAACAAAAAAGGTTTTTAAACGTAAAAACCTTTGAAAAGATATTATTTGTTTTGTATTCACTCTGTACAAAGTATAGTTGCTTCATTTTTTGCGATTTTTATGTCATTCTCAGCGTTCTCTCTTTGATTTTTAATTTTTTAATTTCAGAACATGCAACGTGACATCGAACGGCACAGATAGCTGCCGTCAACTGTGTTGCGGTCGCGGTTATCGCACAGTCGTCGAAGAAAAGATCGAAAGATGCCAGTGCAAATACTACTACTGTTGCTATGTCAAGTGCAAGACGTGCAGGTCGCTCACGCAGCGACACGAATGCAGTTAATTACTTCATGCACCTTTCATTCAACTTTTCTCCACTGAAATTAAGTCGCGCTTAATAATCACTCTCGATATATTGTAATGCGCGGCAGGCGGTGGCGGCATCGGGTTCGATAATGTGCGAATTATTTTGTCGTTAGCAACCACGCAACACGCGCAGACGTTTTTCCTAAACGAGTACAAACTTATTTATTATTTTTTGGTTGCGCTTGAAGATGTCAACAGAAAAAGATTAATCTAAAGTTAATGCGCGATTAATAGCGGCTTACCGAAAGTAATCAGAAGGAAAACTTTCACTGAAAAAAGTAATGGCGGAACCTAAGTGTATGCAACCAAGGGAATAAGTTTTAAGTAACATTGCGGACGCCCAAAAATTATGCAAACTAAGTGTCGTTTTTTTCTTCATTCAAGCACAACCAAAAATATAGTCCCTTAGATACTTACTCGGTAGTGGCTTTCCTTATCTTACTGTAAATATCTCATAATTGTATCCACATTGTAAATATTCACGTCGCAAACCTAACTTATTATTTAAATTTAAATACCGTAAAAGTGTATTTTATCTTCTTTAATATGTATAATGTAAAAATGTAATGATCAGGATCAATCTCAAAGTCTCTTCAACTGTTTTCATCCACTTCAATCAGAAACAAAACACATACGCCACTTTTACACACATCACTAGTTTTACAAATTAATTTACCCACATTTCAATCATAGTTCTGTGTGCTCATCACGATCATGCGCTGTAACAACATTAAACAAATGATTATAAAAAATCCAGTTTTTAAGACAAAATATCATACTTTTCTGTGTGGTAATGGTTTCAACGTCTTCCTCAAGATGTTCCAATGCTGGATCATGATCCAGCTCGCCCTTATCAATCTTCTGTTGCAGGTTACGAATCTCATCGTCGTAGCCCTTCCATTCAGGAAGAATTCGCATGGCGGCTGTGAGTTTTGCCTCCTTCGTCATTGGGTTGTTACACAAATCGATCGTCTTTGCCGATGACTTCGACGCATCGTCGCACCATGTCTCGCACCAAAGCCATTCTTGTGGCAAAGATTTAATCGCCACCTGGTGGATCATATTGTTGGGTAGATCCTGATCAAGGTTAGAAAGACTGTTCGGATCTTGGCTGAGCGCCTGGTATTGTCCACGCAAGCGGTCACCGGCCGCAATGCGTCGGAAACGTTTCAAATCGACAACATAGAGTGCAGAAATATGATAACGCCGGCCCTGTAAATGATTGCGCCAGTAACCCTGTTTCCAGAACCGGAAGCCGTCCATTTCTTTACGCGATTCACAAAATGGTGTGTAGCCATATGGCGCGCCACCTAAATCGAGTTGTTGAAGTTCTTTCAAATCAGCGCGGACAACCTAACAAGAATTACAAAATACAAATGTTATAAATGTACCAACATCAATTACACAAATTTTACCTGATCAGCATCAACGAAAATAATCTTTTTGACATCCAGAGGGAACAACACGTCCAAGAACAAAATTTTATACCCCCAGATAATTCTCTGTTTCTCAGTTTGTTGATGCAACCAGCGCGGCCATTTGTATTGTACTAATTCGTATTCAAAACCGTATTCCTTGGCCATGTACGGCAAGAAGTCCTTGATTTGTGGAGATAAGTAATTCTTTAGGAACCAAAACTTGACGGGTGTCTTTGTTTGCTTCAACACAGACATCATCATGATACGCAAGAAGCGCTCGTAAAGATGACCAGAAGCCAACGAGAAAATGTTCAGCTTCTCTTCTTCGCCATCATCGCCACTGCTAAACGAACTATAATTATGAAATTAAAACAGGTGTTATGATGAATGGCGATGATTTTACCTGACGAAACTGGATGGGCATGCATAAATGAAGTCGAACATTTAGAAAACAATTCATGCAGTAAAACAAAACATAAATATGCAACACAGCTAATTTTAAGATTAAAAACTAACCTGGTGATTGAATTCCAGATTCCGTTGTTCTCATTATCTTCGCTAAGTAAATCCATGCCAAGTTTGTCGGGCTTCTTGCTAACTTTAAGTTTGACGATGTTAGAACGCAGAGAACTGATGACAACTTTGATATCGGTTGACTTTAGAGGCGTATCGCTGCCTTCATGACTAGATAAATGTTAAAAATTAAATCTGATTTAAATCTACTATTTTGTATAATTACCTTGTAATATCATAAATTTCTGAACTTCTTCCTTGTCTTAGTCTTACAATCCACGCGCCTGGGTTGGCTTTAAGTTGGAAATATCCCAAATTTGCCATTACAATAGTATCAACAATAACAGGTTGCCTTTCAGTGCCCAAAGTAATTTGAAGACCTCTTGGTGGACTTAAAGTAGTCGATTCAAAGCAATGACCTTCCAAAAGTAAGTATTCCAACTCATATTCACTAAAATTAATTGAATTTTAGGCTTGGAAAACATTTAAACTTATTTGTTTTACCTGTGTACATTATTTTCAACATTCTCCAAACGAATATTATCCAAATCATACACAGACCTCACTGCTTCCACTAACCAATTGTCAGGTACGTGCATATTTTGCGTTAAGAGTGGTGATTGTGGCATGTTATTAAATTTGGCGATAGAGCCAGGTACTTGTTTGCCATCTTCATTGAATTGTATCTCCGAATCGAGCACGAAACGATAGAAACTAAATACAGAAATGCAATTTAAATATTCCTATTCTGTTAATAATATAAATTATTACCTCTTCAGTGGCATGTCACTATTCTTCTCCACACTGTTCAAAAACAGTTTAATATTACAATTTAGTACTTCTTGCAACACTTGCAAAATGGGACCCAGTTTTTGTGCTCCTCTAGATACCGGATCAACAATTGCAACGATATCAAACGCAACCTTCTCTGGTTGATTGGGTGGCAATTTAATCACGGAGTACTGATCAGTTTCCGAAGCGATATCAAATCTACTCTTTGATTGTGGTCGAGCAACTAACAAGCTGACGATTTTCATGATTGCGTTACTTGAGATGTCACCCTCTTCATCGGCAGTTTTATCTAAGATTTCTTTAAGTTTCTGGCCGTAGGTAGCAGTGCTAAAGCGTTCCAATAACGAAAAGTCCTCGACGGTAAACTTTTCATTTTCGTTGAGTGGACCCAGGACGCGGCCATTTGCAATAATGCCGCGTGCGCTCGCTGCAAACGTGAGCACACGCTGACAATAAACGCGAAGCATTTTCAAGGAGAGTTCTTGCGATGATTCTTTTGTTAAAATTTCTTTCTATATGACAAAGACATATACAAATGAAATAAAATTAAAAACCTGAAAATGTTGTGTACTTACAGGTAATAATGACTTATCACCATCAGATTTTAAGAATTCAATGATTGTATTTGTTGTTTTATCATTGTAGAACTCCATTGCGGCCAAAACCAACTTGTTGATAGCATTATCCTGTGTGCCATCAACATTGGGAAGGAAAGCAACTCGTGTATCACCAGCAGATTTCTAAATAAATCAAAACAATCAACAATACAATCTATAAAGCATTTTGATCATTTTTACTAACCATGTATTCTAATGCGTCGATAAGTAATGCCCGTGATTTCGGACAATACAAATCTCCCACAACCCAATAAGTCATCCCGTAATATTTTTCGCTTTTCTTCGGTGACATAAAATACTTCAAATTCTCCAGTGCAGTCGCAGTCATATCCCGAGGTGTTAATTTCAGTAAATCTTGAATCGCCATACTCGTCGTCGCCGTCCCTGTCATATCCAAATACACAACGTTCTCCTTACTCAAAATTCTCTCATTCAATCGCGGCATAACATTAGGTTGATTCATGATGTAATCAACAACATCATCCCCATCCTGCAACTTTCCTTTGTAAACAGCCTTTTGGAACGAAGGAGTCTGAGTCATAACTTCGCTAAGAACTGCTTCTTCAAACTCATCAACATTTAACTGATGCGCTGGCAATGGAATGCCGTTCATCAACGCTTGAGGTAAGGAATTAAGACCAGTGCGTTGAATAAAGTCTTCACTTAGTTTCCGGCCAAAATCGAAATCGGAGTCTTCACCGAGAATATAATTCGGATCATCGCTATATTTCTTCACGAGTTGCTCTTTAATATGATCGACGGTGACGTCCCCACCTTTCGCGGTGCCAAGAACAGTCGTGATAAAGTTCAACGCGGCCGCTGGGTCTTTTTTCTGTGAAACATAATTAAACGCACAGACCATCGCTACACCAGCGTCTTCCAAGCCAGTTAAACTTGAAGATGAGCTCGCGGATAATACAAGACCTACACGAAGTGGCGCAGTGTGAATAACAAAAGACTCGACAAGTTTTAACAACGTTCTTGTTTCTTTGTTCAGTGGATCAATAATGATAACAAGATTGAATAAGTTTTTACGAACTTGGCGCAACATTCCAGGGAATGTAGGTCTCAACAAATCCATTAAACTTGTACCCCAACGACTATACTTTGAATCTTTCTCAATGTCGTTAATCCAATTGATTGCGGAATCTCTGATATCCATAGCAAACTCTTGTCCGTTATTTGAATCGCTGAAGTCTACTGATAATAATGAAGATAGTCGAGCGTTACCAAGGCCAATATTATGCAAGCCTTCCATTGTTCGTAGTTCTTGTCTTACAACGTCCAAAATACCGAAAATATCCACCACATCAACATCATAATACAATCCGTTGATAAACAACGCCGTATCTGAAGGTTGCAGATTCAAAGTAGCTCCGAATATCTCCTGATTACGACGCATTTCCTTCTTTAACTCACTGCTGACAACTGTTTTAACTAAAGCTTTCGCTTGCATGGGGAAATTTTGCGCAAGATTAGTAAAGACTTTAAGAGCTTCATCTCGAGGAGCGTTCATGATGCGCTCGGCTGCTTGCAGGCTCAATTCTTGAAACTGCCATACTTTTAGAGGCGCCATTTCATTGGAGGATTCCTCTAGATGTTGTTTAAATTTATCTAGCTGCTGCTTGTGGTCGGGAAAGATTGATTTCAATTTAGCAAAGTCAAAACCTTCAAGTTCAATATCGTCATCTTCTTGCGATGCGTCCTCAGAACTGCGATCATCTTTTATTTCCGAATCATCTTGAACTTTGTACTCGGTAGATTTCATCTGTAATTCTACCCCGTAACCGGAAAGACGTAATTTGTGATCGCGCTCAGATTTAATAAAGTGACGCACTATGTAGTCGATGGAACCCTGCTGCGCTTCGGATTTTAAAATGTTATGGAACGTTTGGAATGCAGGCGTTCCCAACTCGCCGTAGAGCACCACAGCGATCGTGCGATTTTCTGAGCCGGGGTAATGAGTATCAACGCGAAATACTTCGTTGCGAACATAATTTTCTTCTTTTATCTAAAGTTGCGCACAAAAACACCGTTTTATATATTTGGCAATAAATAAATTATTTAATAATCTTACATTTTGTATGGCTTTATGTAAGCTCTGAGCATCACAGATATAATCACCCCCAATATCAGCAAGTGCAGCACAGTCTGGCAATTCATGTTCTCTTGCAATTTGAGCAAACATTTCCACCTTAGGTGAATACACATGCAGTGACAATCCCAACTTGAGTAAAGACACCTGCAGTGGGGTAATCAACTTGGCAGCATGTTGCAGTATTATATCATATCGTTTTTTATCATTTCCTAATGACAATATTTAAAAAAATATTAATTTAAAGTTTTAGTAGCAATTTTGTTAACAATTCCTACCAATCTCATTAAGTGGAGGCTTTAGACCTCCTATTGAATCAACAAACTGCCAATAATAGTCAACATTCTCATCCTTTAAATACTCAGCAACTTCTAGAACCAATGGTGTTGCATCCCACTGAGCATCCAGGAGAGTTGTAACAAATTTGGACTTTTTTGTCTTTGCATCTCCATTGGAAACAGTGTAAACGAGCGTGACTAACACGAACAAGTAGCTAAACACGCGACTATGAAACATCTAAAAGAAAATTTAATTAGTTTACGTAATAATGCAATTTATATTCCATCGTTTTAATACTTTAATAGAAATAATAGATTACATTTTTGTGGAAGTTGGAACTAACCTTAAAGTTTCGTGGCAACTTGCCGAATATAAATTACACTACATACACTACGATGGTAACTCTGCATATGCGGAACGCGCACAAAATTACACTCACGTCTAATGCACACAACTTACATTATTTTACTTTATAAGATTAAAATATCAGCTGACATTATCACAGCGATCACAAGTCGACTAAACGAAAACAGTAGAAAAGCGCTGCTGCATACACGCAGCACACACACCTGTAAACAGTTTTCGACCAATGATAATGAGACAACTGTTTTTCACATTTCACATGTGATAATCGTATAAATTCTTAAAATAATCAATTGATAATAGCATATGGGCTAACTTAAGACTAAAAACAATTATAATTACATGTTGTCATCAAAGTTTTGAATAAAAATATCGGTATTAAGATTTTGTATTGCTAAATGCATTGGGTGTATTGTGGGTTGCCTACTATAAAAGCTCTTTAAAGCTTGCAATACAGCAGGACCAAAAATATTTAAGAAAACTACTAAAATTAATAACAAAACTAATTATTACTATTACTTATCAATCCATATATAATGAATAACTGATTTATATAAAAACTGAAATGATTTTAAACATATAGTGAATTGATCTGATTGAACTGATGCATAATTTCAAAGCTAAATCTAAACCAGAATATATTTTGAAAAAAATCAAAGGTCAATATTGCCACTGTCCACATAAACGTATTCAGCTGTTACTACACGGCAAACATAAATTAGATAAGTTGAATACGTCAACTCTACTCAACTTGTGAACAAGTTTCGCGTGTTTCCTACCACCGCTGATTATGAGCATGTAAATTGATGTGAATGTAACTGAGCATGCTGCGCACGCATCAACTTTGATTAAGTTTTAGGGACCAATTACCAATAAGTATAGAAGCGCAAAAGAAATAAAAATGGGTGTCTGGGTGGTGCCACAGGTTTTGCGCGCGTAAGTACCGAAATATCTCATTCACAAACTGCATTTTCCGCGCTAAACTCTCATTGTTTCTAGCGAGAGCGCAAACTTACTTAAGTAAAGTAACCTCTAAAAGTTACGACAGTACCATACTTAACATAACATAACTTGAGCCTTGAAAAGTTTTTTTCACGTAACAATCAGACCCGACATATTTTCGATAAATAATATTTCAATTTAATTTATAAATATTTAGAAAATTAATAAAACGTTAAATATAATATTTGAATAAATTTTCAGAAATTTAACAAAATTATCCATTGTTGCAAACGGCGCAAGATGGAAAAGCACGAGCTCCCGAAGAATCGACAAAGTTTTGATTGCAAATCGAGGCGAAATTGCTTGTCGTGTTATGCGAACAGCAAAACGTCTTGGTGTTCGTACTGTTGCGGTTTACAGTGAAGTTGATGAGAATTCCTTACATGTTTCACTGGTAATTGAAAAAGAAATAACAATAAATTTAATTTTCACCATCTAATCTCAAATTTTCTTTGGCGTGACGGCCATTTTGTTTAATTTATAGGCCGATGAAGCATACAACATTGGTCCCGCTGCCGCAAGTCAAAGTTACCTTCGTGGGGACGTAATTCTAGGCATTGCAAAAGCAACAAACTCACAAGCCGTTCATCCTGGTTATGGTTTTCTATCGGAAAACGTAGAATTCGCCGAAGAATGTCAGAAACAAGGCGTAATCTTTATTGGGCCCCCAGCGTCAGCCATCAGAGACATGGGAATCAAAAGGTATTAAGATTTTGCGTCCCTTCAGAATTTTGAAATATTTTTTTATCAGCACATCAAAAGCGATAATGTCCGCTGCTGGTGTGCCGATCATCGAGGGCTATCACGGTGAAGATCAAAGCGAAGCAAAACTCCGTGAAGAAGCTAAACGTATCGGATATCCTATTATGATCAAAGCAGTGCGTGGCGGAGGTGGTAAAGGCATGCGAATCGCAATGACTGAAGCAGATTTTGGTGAAGCCTTAGATTCGGCAAAGAGAGAAGCACAGAAATCATTCGGAGATCAAGTCGTACTATTAGAAAAGTTCGTAGCAGAACCCAGACACGTCGAAGTGCAAGTTTTCGCAGACATGCATGGAAATGCAGTGCATCTCTTTGAAAGAGATTGTTCTGTACAGAGGAGACATCAAAAGATCATTGAGGAAGCACCAGCAGTAAGCTAATCACAAACAACTTTTAAAATTAAAAGTTTCGTAAAAATATGCAAAATTTCATTCTAGCCTGGTTTAACAACTGAATTACGAGCAGAATTAGGCGCAGCTGCTGTCAGGGCAGCTAAAGCCGTGGGATATGTCGGCGCTGGAACAGTAGAATTCATTTTGGATCGCCATAGCCACAGTTTTCATTTTATGGAAATGAATACTCGCCTACAAGTAGAGCATCCTATCACCGAAATGATTACCAATAAAGATCTAGTCGAATGGCAGCTAAAAATTGCTTCTGGAGAAAAACTTCCTGTCACCCAAGAGGAAATCCTAATGAATGGGCATGCATTTGAAGCACGTATTTACGCAGAAGATCCAAGAGGTGGATTCTTACCGGGAGCAGGACCTCTATTGCATTTATCTACGCCTGATGGCGCTGAGGATTGTAGAATTGAAACGGGAGTAAGACAAGGGGATGAAGTATCTGTTCACTATGATCCAATGATTGCTAAACTTGTCGTGTGGGGAGAGGATAGGACTGAAGCTTTAACCAAACTTCAGAGTCGATTATGTGAATATAATGTAAGTGATCACAATCAATATGGATAATAATGATAATAACAAATTTTGATTTCAGATTGCTGGATTGGAAACAAATGTAAACTTTTTGTTAGATCTAGCAAGACATCCTGAATTTGTGGCTGCCAATGTACACACCAACTTTATTCGTGATTATAATGACTCGTTGTTTAGGAAAGAAGAAGTCAGTAACAAAATGGCGATTCAAGCTGCATTAGCAATGGTGTTATTAGACGAGGTGGAAGTTTTGAATGACGCTATTAGTCAAAATAATCATTATAATCCATTTGTGGTCGAAAGTGGATTCAGACCTAATTACAACTTGATTAAAGACATTAAACTAAGACACAAAGATGAAGGTAATATAACCTAACTTTACAGCTTTCCAAATAAAATATTTGTAATAATTTAATATTTCTACTGGTTTAGAATTCATAGTAAAAGTCAAATTTTGTGATAATAACTCATATCAAATCTCGCTTGACAGTGGTGCCAATTGGATTGCGGCTAGCGGTGAAATTAAACAAGCTAATAATGACAACAATAAAATTACGCTGAGGAGTAACATCGATGGTGACGTAAGCAGTGCAAATGTGTTCAGAAATGGGGAAATACTTGCCATATTTGATAATGTAAGTGTAAAATTATCCTAACTAACACGAAATTAAATTTTGTTAAAATTCCAGGATGGAAAATCACAATTTGACCTTGAAGTATTCAACTTCGAGGAAGACGGTACTACCGTGAGCGGAAATCGTGCTGTTGCACCAATGCCTGGCGTCTTGGACAAAATCCTTGTCAAACAAGGAGATACAGTACAACAAGGCGATTCTCTGTTCGTAATTATCGCCATGAAAATGGAGCATGTAGTCAAAGCGACAAAGAGCGGTAAAGTCGATGGAATCTTATATAATGTTGGTGATAATGTTCCAAAAGACGCTACAGTTGTAAAGTTTGAGGAAGAACCCACTCAAGAATAATTCCATCGCCAAAATTGATACTTGCTTACAAAAAGTCAGGATTCTGGTATAATTTGTTGAATATATTGTTGAAATTTACAACTATGTCTTGCCATAATATATATTGATACTTTTAAAATGATTTTTAATTTAATCACCGTAACCTGTTGCTATGGGAATATATTATGTTATAATCAAGTGCTTGATAAAGTAAACTACTTCCCTGTAATTATAATTTCACGTGATTCAGACCAATTTAATTTTATCGTTGAACTCAAATCACCTCAGTATCTATTGCGGAATACCGAAAATTCCATCAACGTAATGATTTCAAGTGGATACCTATTATGTAGTACCCACATTATTTTTAAATATTTTATTCTTATTTCCATTAATATTTATCTCACAATCAAATATGTTACAAAATGTTGGGATTTTATCACACTTTCCGCCACTTGGAGGTCATATAATAATCTTAAAATTCACAGTCATTAAAAATTCAAACAATGCCAATGAAATTCATTACACACCAAAAACTATGCTAGAATAGGAAGATAATGATAACAAATTTGTGTTCAAGCAAGTCTAATCGACATTACACATTAATAATTGCTGAGTGTACAGAATTTTAGCCTTACACCATTTTGAATATTTAACTTAATTTCGTGCAATCGTTCGTTTGCGTAGTTAGTCATTCGTTATCCGCATTATGAGCAGTTTCGGGTCGGTGTCGTTTTATGTTTTGACTGCTTTTATAATCAATCTACTGGAATTTAAATAGTGATAGTCAGCTGAGCTGGACAAGTGCATATGTTGCTAGTTATTTTGTTTATGTCGGAACTTAAAACTGTGTGTGCAGAATAAATAAACAATTACCACACGTGTGTGATTCGAAACAGTGCAACTGTTATTTTCCTAGTGTTAGTTATTCAATAGGATATTATTACATTTGTAAAAATACAGGTAAGTTAAAAGGTTAAGGGTTGAGGTTAACTTTATATTGGCAACAATATTTTATGGAAATTCACCGAAAAAGTGTTAACTCGCCAATATTATTGGTAAACACGATATGTAAATTGTCTGCGACTATTAATAACTCTGTTTATTATCAAGACATTGCCAAAATTTGTCAAAACAAAATTTCGAGGTTAAATTTTAACATAACCATTAATATGCATAATGCGCAACAAGTTGCATACTATATTCACTTAAAATGCATTACTTTTCAAACCTACGAGAAGTTTTAATAGATTTTTAAAGATTAACGTGGCTTACATTCTGTTAATCAAGCCGAGTGCAATTAAACGCTGTATTCGCAATAAAAAGTAGTTAAAGTTGTTAATGCTCGGCACGATTTGACCTTTCGCTATAACACCAACAACGTTGTGACGTGCAACACAAGCCTGTCCACCACTACATTCACCCGTTCAATCGGTCAACATTCAATCAAACTCAAACCCACACGAACAGGATTAATACACGATTGTGCAATTTGTAATTTAAGTTCACATGCCAACGTACATAACGTATATAATGTGAGCTATTCGAACGATTACGGTTACTGATGTTGCTGTAACGATTACCAGTAATAATGAGCGTGTTAAGTTGCCTTAACTTGTCTTGCGCTGAGTTCCTTTCACTCCTTTCTTTCCGGGGAGGACCAACCAGTCCAACTCGTGCAGGTTGCTATGGTTGCAGGTAGTCAGAGTCGTTCGAAGCGTACAGACACACAAGCCAATCAAACGCGTTCGCAAAGTTCGAGCAAAGCGAAATAAACTTGCGTACGCATTCGATTTTCTACTTGCACGATTCACGACATTCATTCAACATTCAATTATTACCGCGAACGGTGTCCAACAGCACGTCAATTGTTTCATAACTTGTAAAAGTAATAAGTAAAATATAATATGTGGGTGCTGACTAAACTGAAAACAAAAACAAAAGCCTGTGACAAACAGTTGGTGATTGTGTTATAATCATGAAATTACTAAGAAAAGTGAATTAATACCATTGTTATTGTTATAGTCACAAAGAGACTAATTTTGTGTTGTGACGTTTGCACATCAACAAAAACCAGTCGTTTGTTATCACTATTTCACATTAACACGCATTATCAGCAAGGTCAGTATATTAATATGCGGCAAGTGTAAAAGTGCAAAACTATTGTTAACAGTTTTATAATTTGTTCAATGTGTTTCATATATCAACAGTTCACACCGCGCGTTATTAACGGTTTCTTCAAAACTCGTTTTTGTGAAGCGCTGAAAATGCTCAGAATGTTAAAATAATTAGTTAACGTGTCAAAATGTCATTTAAATAAAATAAAAGTAAGACACTAAAATATTTCGAATTTTAGTTGAATTTTTCCATTGATAGGTTTTATAATTGAGTTTGATTCGAATCATCACATCACATGTGGCTGAGTAAAGTTCACTCGCCTTCCGCTGGGTCGAGTTCACACACGAATCGTGCTTTCTTTAGACATTCCAGAAATACGAAGCTAAATTTACATTTTGCACTCATTTTCTCCATGATGTTTTGCAAACAAACCTACATTTCTATAAACATACTTCGATTCACGTCTAAACTTTAGGTTTAATTAACCATGGAATAGAATTACCTTGGAATGCAGTTTCGAACGGTTTCACTTTTAGTCGACGGCAAAACAACAACAAACACGTAACACATTTATAATTTCTATCAAATTATTAATATCGGAGAAAATTTTAATTTTTCCATTTCATTCCATCCAGTGGAATATCAGTAATATTTGTACAAGAATTTTATAATTTCCAACAATAAAATGTACTATAATAGGATTGTTATCACTCTGAATCATCACTATCATCACTTTCTCACGAGTATTATTGTTGCGTGAGCATTTTATAAAGCAACACCAGTAAAACTGGTACTGAGCAAGTTATTAATATCAATTAATGTACATTAATTTTATGATAAAATTCTACGTGATATGAGAATGTAAAATATAATTCTGCTGACGTTAATCTTTGTTTTAGTGTTGTGCTGCTCATCTCAAAGGAAACAAGTGTTCACTAATTAACTTTTAAACTAATTCAAAATGGTGAAGTTGGAGAAACTGGACGAGGATGAAGACGAAAGAACAGCCCTCGCTGTCCTGGAGTATCAACCAACGTGAGTACCACATTTTATTTGAATTTTTGATAATTTTATTTTATTATTATCGGCAACACACTATTTATTTAATTTCAGTGTGTATACTTGGTTGCATACATTATTTTATTAACTACTATTTACTCGCTCAAACAAACTAATAATTTAAACAGCTAATAACGTTTGCTGATGAACAATTGTGCCGTCAATCATCATCATCACTTTTATTTTGTTTGCACAAATAATACACTCACGTAACTACGTAATAATACGCAATTATTGGTATATATTGCTATATATAATAATTATTATTGATATTAATTGCATTTAAACTACACATTTACAGTATAATAGACTGTTAATTGTTTAATTGCAATCTGTGTGTAGTCAAGTGTGTAATATTGAATTATCTTTTATTTGTTGCTTAAATGTGTATGTACAATAAATTGCCAATTACAATTAGATGTTGTTTAAGTTTAACGAATCGTTCGTTTGAGAATAAGTCGAGCATGCTCAATGAATGAAAATCTACGAGTAAAGCCGAGTCAAGGCTGAAAACGCGAAACGTGAAAATAGATTTGTAAGATGTTATTAATAGACTTCTAAGATGTGTTTTAGTGTAAGTTGAGGAAGAAAATAAATTAGCGCGGCATGCGTAACGAGGCAAATTTACACTTTTTAGTTTTATTGCAGTGTGAATCATAGCTGGCAAAATCGACGTTTGATAAAGTTTGAATTCTAGAATGCAAACACCTCCAGGCTGATTAACTATAACGACATTGTAAACATTATTTTTCTAATGAAAAAAAGAACAATAAATTTAACATTATGTTGCCAAAGTGTATACCTATATACACGAATAATTAATTTTTATATTTTGACATTTTTCTATGTTTTGTTTGTGCAATTTGTGTAAATAAGTAAAACGTGCGGTTGAACACATCCGCAGCACGTGAAGGTACAAATAGACCACACGTGGAAAAGTACGAGTAGATTAATTTATCATTTTTATTGTTAATTTTCTTTAAACTAATTTATTATAGTCAAATTACAATATCAATATAATCTAGGCAACCCCCGAAGAATTTTTCTTGTCACACGGTACAACCTTAACTACGGCTTAAAAATGCTCTATTAAATTTTATCTGCAAATAAAAACCAGTTTATCACAGGCAATAAATAATAATTAATTACATTACTAAATATTAAAGAAGTGAAGTGAAATCGATTCAGAAAATTTCGCAAATCTAACTAATATTGGCTATTTTTAATACACACAATCTTTATGTATTAAAAAATTGATGATTTATTGCCAAAGTTTGCCTAAATATTTGCTTCAATATACAACATTATAATTTTTAGCAGTTATTAGGTAATTTAAATTAGCAAATATTGTGAAAATTTTTGTTTCACTTTCTATTCACTACAGATTATTTAGCTAAGTTATCAGTGATTAAAATTTAAGTTTTGCAACTAATAAAAACCAGCGCGACTTTGAATATACAAATTATTGCGTATCATGTATCAAAACCTGCTTACAATGTTTGTAAAATGTGTTCACAAGTCAGTAATAAAAGTAACGACATAATTTGACTTGACCACAAGCAAACTATGACTTAACTTGTACTTTTCTATGAAAAAAGAACAAAATTAAAAACATTTATTGTGCAAAATTTTAAGTAAATTAAGTTAATATTTCGGAATTAAACAAGGTTGAAGTTTTTGCCATTTGAGAAGATCCAACGACAGAATAACATATTTGACGACACGACACCACTGGTAGTAGAGTTGCTTTTGTGCTTCAGTGTTCATAAAAGCACAAAAGACGACGACACGACGTCGTTTCCTTATTATTTTTAATTTTATCATTAACTATTTTATGCGCGTCTTGCGCATCACTCGCTGAACGAATGTTATCCTATCACCATTACACTTTGCGATATAAAGTCTGCCATCTTGTTGAATAAAGCAAAGTGTATTGATCTCAAAAATATGATATGTATTTATAAATTAAGTGACAGATAGTTTGATGATAGCATTATCTTTGTTTAAATATGTTAAGCAAAGCTATTATGATGAAATCTTAAATTAACAATTTAGAATTTCATACAATTAAATGTTGATGTGCAGTTGAATGAACACGATTTCTTCACTTGTCTCTTTAAGATGTCACACTTTATTTAGTAAGTGTGGAAACGTCAATTCGAACATAAAACGCTAAAATATAGCACACATCAAAAAGCATTGACTCTTGTTAGAATAAAATTTAATTCAATTTAATGTTGAAAATATGTAAGTATACTTACATTGATTGCACAATCATTTAGTTTTACCTACTTTAACCCTCTTGATACAACTGAATCTCAGGTTTTTTTTTAGTTTTAAATTATTGACAAGATCAAGTGTGTTTTGTGTTTATATTTTGCGTCTGGGACAAAATCTTCCAAGTCTATCTCAAAATATCTGGGCTGATTTTTAAAAACTTTGATTTATAGGCTTCAGATAAACAGAATTCCTACTAAAAATAAAAAGTAAGGAAAGAAGAAAATTAAAGTAAATGCATCGCATTACTATCACGTGAATCACATGAATTTTGATGATATTAAAACCATAAAAGTACTCTTTTGAACTTAATTAAACTAAATTAAATTTAATTCACATTTTTTTTTGTTTTTAGTTGATTTTCCCTTTTTTAAAGTTAACGCAATCACTAATTTAGTTATTTTTAAACGGTTGACAATGCCACTAATGTGAAAAATGTCAAATTTAAAATAAATTGTACTTGAAATAAATAAGTTTCCAAATGGTTAACGTAATCACTAGCTTGGACTTAAAATTAAGTTGATTATTTGCATTATTACCCAAAGAATGATTTTTTCTTCAAAATTGATTATTAAACTAGCATCATTTGTAATGTAAACAATTGATATCACTAGATAATACTAGTATTCTTTGTTTTTCAAATATTTCTAATAAATCGCTACTTCAATGGCGTCCGTCTGCTGCCTCCCGCCGTTTTTCGAAAGCATGTGCGACCACTCACACTCGCGAGTGTGCGCGCGGCGTATATAACGATTAGCCCATCAAAACACGACTACTGTCCATTTTGTCACCAGACTCAGCGGAGTGTGTGTGCGCCGTAAGAAGATAACGCCGCGACAAGTGCCCATTCTGAGCAACAAGTGCATAGTGCACTCTTTTTAAACAACGCATTATCACCACTCAAATCAGACATAACACTGCATCTCGGACTTAAATCTAATCACAATCAAAGTTGCATTCGGCGTAAATTATTGTTCGAAATTATTTTGAAGTGAAGTTTCATGAGATTATCAATCAGTATTTTGCTACATTCCCAAAATTTAGTGATGAGTTGTGAGCAAAGAACAAAAAAGTAAAAAGTTTAAAATTTATTTAAAATATATTTTAAATTGTTATCATATTTATCGCAAAACTAAAACAGTGAAAAATGACAACGGAAAACAAGCAAATTCCAACTATCAGTAAAACTATCAGTAAAAAGGATGAAAAAACCTATTGTGCTTGCGACAATGACTCTCAAGCGAAGGATACGAAAGAAGTGATCAAGTTGAAAGACACAAAAACATCGGAAACGACGAAAGAAAAAGCTAAAGATGCCGAAGCTTCAAAGTAAGTCTTATCGCAATTTAAAAGTATATTTAAGACTTATATAATTGAGCGTGAAACAATCATCTGTCCATTAGAATTGTTTCAATGTTAACCTTAGTGCGACAAATGCTTGTTATAAATATCGAACCGATTCAGAGGTCAGGGCTCTTGTTATTATTAAAATCAGAGCACTGAGACGATTGGACGAATTTCGATGCGTGCGCTAATTCTTTTTTCAGCGTATGTATTGATGCCCCTGAATTTCTATCAGGAATCTATTTCTTAAGTATGATTTATTAGAGTTTTTGGTGTTAGTATAACAAAATAAATGATTTTCAAATTTCTCGATGCAAATATGGCTACTGTACGTCTGTGGTTTCAACATCGGGTTTATAAATAAATGTGCAAACGTTGAGCGACCAAATCTAGAGCGTGAAAATGAAACTAGTGCAATGTGAGGATAATGATGATTTTTCGATCAAGTTTTAAGCATTTTTAGTCATAATCTAAATTTTAAAAGTGTCAAAAATCAAATATGTATTAAAATAATATTTTTGCGGTTGTTATCACTGTAAAATGTTAAAAACTCATTGATATCTATTAATTCTTAAAATTCCTGCAATTGTTCTTAAACAAATATATAAGTAGTAATTCTAACAATTCTTTGTATGTGGTGTTATCAATGACACATTATTGATATTAGTAATTATTATTGATTGAATTTGAATGAAATTTTACTGTAATTATAATAATGATGATGATGATTGTTACAATATTTATTTTGTGATGATTGTTTAATTGTTTCTATCTATTTAGCAAACAAATTAAGTTTACTCAAAAGAATAAACAAAAAGCCAATCATTAAGATGTGTAAATAATTTATACTTCTTTTGTGCAGGAAAAATGAAAGCAAAAGCAAATTCACGACACGACAAAAAATCGGCCTTACGATGCTGGCGACCGTGGAGTTTTCGAGCTATTGCTCGATGTCCATCATGGCGCCGTTTTACCCTCGCGAAGCCACCGATAAAGGCATGTCCGAATCCCTTGCTGGCTTCGTGTTTAGTTTTTACGCTCTTGTGATATTTGTATCTTCTCCTATCTTTGGTAAAATCGTAAGTATTATAACTTCTCAATTGTCGCAGAAAAAAATAAAACAAAAATTTACTTTGAATTTTACAGTTACCAAAAGTCGGAGTTAAACCCTTGTTCATTGGAGGAATTGCCACCTCCGGTATTTGCAGTATTATATTTGGGTGAGTATATTTATTTTTTAATATGCAATTAGGTTTTTTAAACGCGGATCGTTTAAGTATCATTAGACAACGATTAAGAGGATTGCATTTAGAAATGTCACATTACTTTATCTATTTTTTGATGGTGTAGACATTATGCGTCAAACATAGATTTAGATTTAGATACCACTGTCCTTGATACAGTCTCAATATGCAAGCTTTTCAAGACACTCAGACTAGGATTGTGTTTCAGTTTTACGACAATGTTTTCATCTCTGATTGCGCGCAACAGGTTGTTATTCAGCTTCTATTGTGCGCACAAATTCGTTGTAAATTACATTTAGAGCACGTTCCTACATCGGGATGTTGGTGTGACCCACGGTGACCTATATTTAAATAACAAAACTACGTATTCTCACTTCTTAATAAGTAAAATGATGCGCAAATGTTCCACATATAAAAGGCGTGCTAAAATTAGGTTAATTGTGATACCGGTGACAGGCAACCAACAGTGCAACGTAACTTGGTTGCATATAATAATATTTTGTTTTCGCACGGGTACTGCGAGGTTTTAATTGATCTTAGATGAGTATCTACTTTTCCATTGACGCAATAAATATTTTTTTACTAAAAATAGGTGTTTTCCTGGATAATTCCTCTGTAAACATAATTATTTGCATGGCGAGATATAATTTTGCGATTTAGCGATTAACTGCTAATGGAATAACAACAATTGAGTGTTGAACCGCTCATTAGCCAACCGCCAGTACACCACAACAATAGATATCAAGCACGACAAGTGGTTTAGAAGTTCAATTTCAGTTCTGGAAACTTTTTAACATCAATATATGCGCTAACATGCCAAATTGATAGTTATTAATACTTGATGTGGTTTTAATAGGGATTTTATCATGTAGTTTCTGAAAATACATGAATTTAATCTATTTTTAAATATTTTTAATATAAATGAATCATTTATTGTCTCACAGGATGCTCAATTACGTTCAGGACTACTACCTCTTCACATTCCTGTCGTTTGCGATCCGCGGCGCCGAGGCATTAGGCGCTGCCTCCTACTCTACAGCCGGATACGTGCTTGTAATCAACATCTTCCCCAACAATGGCGGCACCGTCAGGGTAATTTAACAATTTGCGCATAATTGGAATATTTTTGTTGCAAATTCTCACACTTTACAAAATTATTTCAGTAATGTTGTTGGGTTAATGTTTCCTTAAATAAACATGATGATTATTTTGATCATTTTTGTTTTCAGGGAATTTTGGAAACCTTTGTGGGCCTTGGTATGAGTGCAGGTCCTGCGATTGGAGGTTTCTTATACGCGGTAAGTACTCACAACATAAACAATAATTAATTCAATAATATTTCAACCACAGACGAATTATTAAGCGTCTAATAAATAATAAATGCAAAAGCAAACAGAAATTGTTTAGGAAAGATACTAGAATCACACCTTTGGTGTAAACAGTAAATATGCTAATTATTGTTAAATATACTCTGAATGTCTACTAAAGATTTGTTAATTTCTGAATCATAATTGTTATTGTTTGTTGGTGATGATTAGATATTTATATGAACGTTGTTCTTCTAGGAAGGTTGGAGGCTTTGGACTACCATTCTATGTTGTAGGAACAATTACACTATTGGTAGCACCATTAAACGTCTTTCTTTTACCATCAACTAAAGGTAAAAGTTACTAACAACTAATTTTAACTAAAAACTTAAAAACTCAATTTAAAAATTATCTTTTTTTCAATTTAGAATGCGCCATGAACGTTAAAAGTGGATCATTCCGAAGTATACTTAAGATTCCTTCCGTGATCGTGACTTGTTTCATAATTGCGTTGGTATCAACTACCTGGGCCTTCCTGGACCCTACATTAGAACCGCATCTGAGACACGTGAGTGATTTATTTCTTTCACTCTGTGCAAAAAATTAATTTTAATGTTTTATTTTTAGTATAAATTGAGTGCCAGTAATATTGGTCTGATATTCCTTTTGCTCTCGAGTATGTATGGAATCTTTAGCCCAATTTGGGGCTGGGTTTCAGATAAACTAACTAAACACTATTGGTGTTTGATGACTCTCGGCCTCGCAATGTCCAGCATTAGCTTATTACTGCTTGGACCATCTCCAATGTTGACATTTTTGCCGAAATCAATGTGGTTGAACATAGTTGCGCTTTCGTTTCTGGGTGTTTTCGTCGCTATGGGATTAATGCCGACTTATCAGAGCATCCTAGATGGCGCACTGTACGTATTTCTATTTTTATTTTTATTTAAACTTAAACATATATCAAATTAAATTTGTTTGTATTTTTCAGTGAGGATGGTGGTTTTGTAGATAATCTAGGAACACATAGTCTGGTCGCAGGACTTTGGTCATGTGTTTATTCCCTTGGAGAAATGATGGGACCTGCGATAGGTGGCGCTCTTTTAGAACAATGGGGCTTTCCAACTGCAGCATCAGCAATTGCTTGTGTTAACTTCACCGGCGCAATATTTTCCTCAATATTCTTTTACTTCCGTCGGAAAAAGGACCTATCATGCGATATTCTCTCGCCAAAATTAACGCAGAGTGAGGATAAGTACGAGATTGCCGTGGAGAAGGAGAAAAAGAACGGGGAGTTGCATATACGTGCCACAAATGGCGATATTAACAAAACCGTAGTGAATTAATTAAATAATTAGAATTTGGCATAAAAATTACTACAGGATGCGGCAGAAACGCGATTTATTTTAATCAATTAATGTTTCATTCATTCAAATATTCAAATATCTGTAATGATGAATAAAATCCATCCAAGTTTTAAAGTGATAGATTTTCTGCCTCAACTTGTATAAAACTAAAGCAGGGACATAGAAATACTTCAAATTGAAGAAAAAAAAACAAGTGTATATTAGAAAATTAATAGAAAACACTTCGCACTTAGACCGAAGTAAAATTAATAAAAATTTACTGCGATAATGATAAACAATAGTTCAGTTTTAGAATACTAAAGATTTTGCACAGATTTAAGATGAATTATTCAATAGATAGATTTCAATTTTTGAAACATCTACCCAAGTAATATTAGAAATTTTGTAAATTCATTGAAAAAGTGATCAAATAAATTATTCACATAAAATAATTAATTATGTGATTCTTTTGTTCCCGCTCATATAATTGGTAATGATTGATATCCATATTTATTCATAAATATGAAGGTATATATTTTCCATGGTTATTAACCATTCACTTATATTTTGATTACACATCTTTCTTATCTGTTAGTTATTGATATTTTCGATACGATGATTAATGCGCGGACTGCATGGACCCGCTTCATATCATCCTTAGTTATTCGCTACGCTTATCAACGGCCATCGCAACCATGCACACATATAATTCGCATCGATTTGTTTGAACATTTCGCGAGCATACCTGATGACGACTCGTCGGTTGTCGGTTTGTTGTGTTTGTGTTACGCGTCTGTCCAAATATCTACAATACAGTTGTTATTTTGCCATTTTGCATGCTCGAAGCCCCCTCAGTTGATTACCGTTTATCATCGCTATCGCGACTAAATTGTAGAGTACAACCGAGGTGTTGTATTCTTGTGACGTTTCTAAGAAGTCATCATTACTTGGTTGAGTAAATTTGGGTGATCGCGTGTTAGAAATATTTTTCGGCTTCCGACAAACTAGTTTTCGTCAAATTGTTGGACGTACTACATGTTTGAACAAACAAGACAATTATATTTTGTGTTTTTAGTTCATTACTTTATAGTTTAGTCTAGTGTGAGGTGGAATTCTTTATGTGACAATAGAAATATTCTTCAACAAAAAAAACTAACAAAATGCAATATCAAATTCATAGTGAAACATGTGCAAGACCAAGGAATATTCAACAAAGGGTATGTTTCATCTATAATTTTTAATTTCTCTAATTTTAAATCCAGACGTTTTAAATAGCTTTCTGAGATAATATAACGGAATCAAATATAGTCTCTCTATGACCATAATTTTTTTTAGTAGATTGTAATCAAAATATTTAGCAATTAAAAAATATGGTTCATTCATTAAAAGTGGGCATTTTTTAAAATCTTTTTTTTTTATATACAAAATAACTACAAGTTATTTTCTAACAAGAGAAATATTTAAAATCAAACATTAAAAAAAACTACTCCTATATTTAATTTTATACTTAAAATCATGATTCATTAATTAAATATAAGCTTGTCAAAGATTACTGATAATTAAATTATCCATCACTTGTCAATTTTTTCGCACAGTAATCATGGTTTACTGCATTAAACTGTATTAGACACACAAAAGCTGCTGAATGTTGTAATCATCAAATATTCTTTTCTTATCTCTTAAACCGAATTGTTATCGTGCAGTTCCTGTCGCGTGGTTACAACAAAAGTCAAGGGTACACGCAGTCTAGAATCCCATGACGTGTATGTTATATTGGTTGCCTAATTTAAAATAGGTTAGAATAAGAAAAATAAAATAAAATCATTTGTCTCTCAGACGAGTTGGATTGAATATTAGTCGATAAAAACCTAGACTTAAAGCAAATACACGATTAGATATTTGGTGATAGATTGTATCAAACAAACTATTTGATAATCAACAGTCCGGAATAATAGCTTAGATGGACAACATAACGCCATCTGTATATCAAAAGTGTAACGTATAAGACACTCTTTAAATATGAAACGAAGTTGCGTTAGTTACAGCATTTATAAATCATATTTAATAATAAACCAATAGGTACCAGTAACAATAATAATAATAATAATATCATAAAAAGAAATTATATATCTGTACCAATTTCTATATAATGATTTTTCTGGTTAAATATTGTATAATTTTGTAAAAAAAAAAATACTTTTTCGGTTAAAGTAAAGTATCAATGTTTGTTTTATGATTAGTTGAAATCAGTGTACACGTAAAATACACTCACAAACATAATAAAACAACAAGTGTACACCAAGTATGTACGATATTTACAAATGATACAAATATCAGTCACGTGTCTTAGCACCGCACGGATGACATACGATTTCAACAACGCTACTCCTCGTTTCAGTATTAAAACCGGAGTTATTCGGACAACGTCAAATTAAAACTGAGCAACAAACCATTGGGATTGCATCAACATATATTTCGTAAAAATAACTGCACTCGACTAGTACTAGGTGACACCGGATTTAAATGAGGCGTCATTATTATTTCGACCAGCACATCGTGAATTACTCATTACTCGTGTAATTAATTATTAACAATTAATTTGCAATTTGCTACAGCATGACAAAAACAATAACAGCAAGCCAATCAAGTGTAAATGAATAAAAGTTTAATTGCTCTGCGCGATATTTTCATATCAAAGAAAAATATAAGTGAATCAACAATACAGAACCTCGTGCGCGGTGTGATACATCAACAAAGCAACAAATTTATTTGTGCTGCAGTGTAAATTATACAAAGTTGAATAAAATAAAAACAAGCAAATATTATACGTAAGTAATTGTTTTCATAGTTATTTAACTAATTAATAATTAATCATAAATAAATATTAATTTGATTAATCTGCATTCCACTTGAATTGTTGCATAATATTGAACAATAACCCAATTATCTGATAATTATTAATCTGCAGACAGAAAAAGTATAAGTGAAAGTATTATTTTCTTATGTTATAAACAATGCATGTGGTGTCGAGTGTCGCGCATGGTTATGTACTAGTTCACCTTTGACATAAATTTTCAGTTTATTGATGATTCGTGGCTTTATCTCACTGTTGTCAAGCGCACAAACACAAAGCTTAATTTACTTAAATTATGGAATTATTTCAGATTAAGTTATAGTTTCGATTACTTTTCATTTTATTTGGCCCATAAAATCAATATGAATTTTTTAATCAAAGTTGAGGTTCATTTTTTGCTTGATATTGACAACGGAATATTTCTAGTCTAAACTAAATTATAATTTACGCACAATTTGGTGTTATTTAATTCTGGATGTTTACTTTTATTCGTAAAAACATTGATATTGAAATAAAAGCAACATCATTCAGACCTCCAAAATTATGCCAGGACGCAATTAGTTGTAATACAATTGCTTCTTACAGTAAAATCCCCAATTTCATCATCGGTTGTTTCTAATCATTAGTTTCTAGTTTATGACAATATTTACATCGACAATTCATACTTTAATAATTTCCACTCTTCAATGGAAACATTGTAACATCGCATGATTAGATGTTATCAAACATATCTACGACTTAATTATATATATAGGAGTATTTTTTAACGTGTTTTTGAGTATCAGTAGTAAAGTACAAATGTGAACGAACTCTTTAACACATCGGAATTTAATAATATATAATATCATCAATATTATCTATAAATATGATATTTTCAATAGATTTGTTAGTAGTAATAGAGTTAATACTTAAAAATAAATTTCTTTTTATTTTATTTTTTGGTTTATATTAGCGCAGTATTAAGAATTTAGTTTTTTTTTCAATTTCGGTGTTTTTTATCGGTTTAATTATATTTAAAGCTTATAAATACATATAAATTTAATATTAAGTTATTGTTCTATTTATATTTTTTTTTTGTGAATACAATACAATTTTATGAACAAATTTAATTTCAAAGATATAAAATGAATCTAAGGTATTAAGGAATATAAAAATAGACCAAACCAAGTTAATTTTAATTGATAAAAGTGGAGAAAGATATAGTTTGCAGACGAGACGGTCGAATTGATATTTTTTTGATTTGAAATAGACAACTTTAAAGAAGGTAAAAAAATTCAAACTCGGTCATCTCGTCCTTATATTAGACAACTTGTGAAGGGTGATAATATAAAGTAGATTTCCTAAAACGGAGAGTTACTCAGTTTGATCTATATAGAAAATTGTTTTCGAAAAGTTCAGGGTTATTTTATTTGAGGAGTAACAATTTTTTTTGTATTAGTCAGTTTTAGATCGTTAGGTGTTTTATTTATTTAATATTAATACAATATTGATAATCAAGGTTTTTATGCAGTTTTAAAATATAGTAATTGAAAAATAAACGTAATTTAAAAATTAGTAAAAATGTGAAAAATATATGTGAAAATGAAATTCAACAAATCTGTTTTTTGCAATTATATTTAACCAATATAGGGGAAGGGGGGCAAAGTGGGCCCCTGGGGGCAAAGTGGGCCCCTGAAATTCAGTTGGCTTAAAAAATTGAGAGGCAAAGTGGGCCCCCTAAAATTTTTTATAAATAAGAGGGGAAAATAACTCACATCAACAAATTCGAAGTAAGAAATGAAAAAAAAATATATAAGCAAAAAAATGGATACAAAGGTAATAGCAAAATTTTTATGGGCGGGGGCCCACTTGCCCCATATTCTGAATTTTTTTTTATTTTGATAGACACGGTTTATTAATATTGAATACTGAACAAGGATGTAAAAAATAGGGTAACGAGTAAAAAAGGTAAACAAATCCCCTTTTTTCGCTTATGGGGCCCACTTTGCCCCCCTCTCCCCTAAATAAAATCATTTTAAGTAATTTCATAATATGGAGAATAATATAATAGACCAAACCAAGTCATTGATAAAAGCGTAGAAAGATGAAGATTGCAGACGAAATGGTCGAATTGATGTTTTTTTTAATTTATTTTTCATTTTACAACTTTAAACAATGTAAAAAAACTCAAACTCGGTCATCTCATCCTTATGTCAAACAACTTGTAAAAAATGATAATGTAAAGTTGATTTTCAAAATTAGAGAGTTACTCAGTTTGATCTATAAAGAAAAAATGTTTTCGAACAATTCAGTGATATTTTTTTTTCAGTGACGTAACAGTTTATTATTTTGATTCTTTTCTATTTCAATATTACTTGGTTTTAAATATTTTATGCTTTTTATGCAATTTAAGATTTTACAATTTTAATAATTAAAAAACATTTTGAAATCAGTAAAAATGTGTTAGTAAACAACTTTTTGCATGATAAATATAAGTGAAAGTGAAACTCTTCAAATCTGTCTTTTGCAATTATGTTTGAACAATATAAATAAAATCAAAGTTATTTCATATAAACGGGAATATAATAGACCAAACCAAGTCATTGATAAAAGCGGAGAATGAAGTTTATGGACGAAATGGTCGAATTGATGTTTTTTTATTTTGAAATAGACAACTTTAAACGATGTAAAAAAACTCAAACTCGGTCATCTCGTCCTTATATCAGCCAACTTGTAAAAATTGATAATATAAAGATGATCCAAAACAGGGAGTTACTCAGTTTGATCTATAAAAATATAAGTATTTTTTCTAATTTCAGATGGCATAAATATTCATATTTGTTGTTCTTTTTTTTAATAACATATTTCAAAAATTAGTAAAAATGTGTTAGTAAACAAAATTTATATTAATATTATAGTACATTTTTTTCTTGAATTTTTTTGTTATTGTTTTATTAAATGAAGTTTTTGCATGATAAGTATATGTGAAAATGAAATCCATCAAATCTGCTTTTTGTAACTAAGTTTATACAATATAAATAAAATCAAATTAAGTAATATCATAAAATTGAGAATAATATAATAGACCAAACCAAGTCATTGATAAAAGCGGGGAATGATGAAGTTTATGGACGAAATGGTCGAATTGATGTTTTTTTTTTTTTTTGAAATAGACAACTTTAAACGATGTAAAAAAACTCAAACTCGGTCATCTCGTCCTTATATCAGACAACTTAGAAAATGAAAAAGAGAGTTACTCAGTTTGATCTATAAAAAATGAGTGTTTTTTTTTTTATTTCAGATTTTAGTTCTTTTTTATTTTAATAACAAAATTAGTAAAAATGTGTTAGTAAACGAAATTTATATTAAAATTAAGAGATTAATACTAGGATACATATTTTTTTATTCTTGTTTCGATAAATAAAGTTTTTGCATGATAAATATATGTGAAAGTGAAATTCATCAAATTATTTTTTTTACAATTATGTTTAAGCAATATAAACACAATATAAATAATTAAAAAAGCTAACTATGCGTTATACCATTATATATTATTATACTCTATCTCACCTCTAATAACTTCTATGCCGTTATTTTTTATAAGAAACAATATATAACAATAATTACGAACATTCTATTAGCATTTACGCACGAACATGTCAATGAAAACATCACGTCCCTCTTATCACCAATTATCTACACCTACACTCATGGAATACTTGAGATCCTTGAGATTATCGTTTAGTAATCAGTTATACCGAAGTGGCAGACTTGTTTGATTTTTAAAGTCGTTTTTCATTTATTCAGCCTAATAAACACATGTTGCTCATTTTGTGCATGTCTGTCGATTAAAACTTTTCATCATTTTTTTACTAAGCGTTCTTGTTGTGTCTGCTCAGTTATACGATAACAAATTATTTTCAAGTCAAAAATTACTGTCAACTAAAAAACTAAAGTTTTTAATCTACTTCCTATATTATACCGATTAATTTAATATTGTGATGATTTTAGGCAATGGATACGAGTAATGATAGAGTGAGCAGCGCTGCGACAGAATATCGAACACCATGTGCCAGTTTGCAAAGTTCTGGTTCATCGTCAGGGGGTTCAGATACAAGAAATTTGACGACTTCAATGTTTTCTGAAGTAATCACACGCCCATCGTCAATGGACTCATCTTTAGATGGTCGAAGAATACGCAGTAAATCAATGTCTAATATTTGTCCAAATGATTATACTCCCGGAGAAGTTAGAAGAATACGAGAAAGATTATTAAGGTAAAAATATTTTATATTCATGTTGAATTGAATTTTTAATTTATTTAGTGTATTTTAGAACAAATTCACATTTAGAACCGTCAGCAATTAAAAAGTTTTCAAGCGCTCAGAAACGTACTTTAGCATCATTAGCCATTATTGATTTTATGGCATTTTGCTCAATGTCCATCATGGCGCCGTTCTTTCCAAAAGAAGCTAAAGAAAAAGGACTCAGCGAATCAGTATCCGGATTTGTTTTCAGTTTTTACGCTTTGGTGATGTTTATAGCATCGCCAATATTTGGAAAAATAGTAAGACATGATTTATTTTAGAATTACTTCATAAAACTTAATATCTTGATTGTGTTTTGATGCAGATGCCAAGATTGGGTGCCAAATTCCTATTTTTAAGTGGAATGGTAACTGCTGGAATTTGCAACTTAATGTTTGGGTAATTACATCATTTTAATATAAAAATATGAATTTATTACTAAATGCGCGGTTGTTTTCTAGATTATTAGAATACGTCGAAGATTACACATTGTTCACAACATTTTGTTTGCTGATAAGAGGCTTGGAGGCGTTGGGCGCGAGTGCTTTTTCAACAGCAAGTTACGTTTTTGTTGTTAAAGCATTTCCTAATCAAGTCGGATCGGTTTTGGTATGGTTATAATCAGAATGATGAAATAATAAATCTATTTTTACGTTTCCCATAATTTTAGGGAATATTGGAAACCTTTATAGGTTTAGGAATGAGTACTGGTCCCGCGTTAGGAGGAATTCTCTATTCGGTATACTAAACATTTAATTCATTCTAAATTAATTAATGCAATTAATTTAATTGTTTTGGTGGCAAATATATAGAATTATTACAGGTATTGTGTTTCTAGGGTAGCTAGGTGGATTTGCCTTGCCATTTTTTTCGCTTGGTGCGACAATGCTCATCATTACGCCAATCAACGTCTGGTTACTACCACAAATTCAAGGTAAAATTATTAAAAACCTAATTTTATAGTTTTATTGAAAAAACTAATAATTAATATTGAAACTAATTGCAGAGTACAATGTTGATGATAAAAATACATCAACCATGACGTTACTCAAGTTACCCACTGTTATCATGACAAGCGCCATTGTTATTGTTGTTTCCAGCACATGGTCGTTCTTAGATCCAACTTTAGAACCACATTTAAGACAAGTAATCTTATTTCTTAAAGAATTGTTTATTTTTAATTAACAATTTGACTAATTTCAGTTTGATTTGTCACCTGAGAAAGTAGGTCTGATCTTTTTACTATTTTCTGGTCTGTACGGAATCTCCAGCCCGGGATGGGGCTGGCTCGCAGACAAATGTCATAATCATTGGGCCCTAATGATCTCTGGAATGTTTTCCTGTACTGTAGGACTGTTACTTTTAGGACCATGCCCATTATTTACGTTTCTATCACCGTAAGTTCCTAAATTACGACTCTAATGCATACACAAAGATTAACTCGGCTTTTATTTTCAGATCTCTATGGTTGAATATCATTGCACTCTCAATTTTAGGTATATCTGTGTCATTATCGTTACTTCCAACGTTTCAGAGTGTTTTATCTAGTGCCATGTAAGTAAACCTTCCTGACTACAGAATTTAAGTTAATAATGTTTAATTTTAGTGAAGGTGGTTGTTCAGATTCTTTAAGCACATATAGTGTAGTGGCTGGTGTTTGGTCCTGTATGTACTCCCTGGGTGAAGTATTAGGACCAACTTTAGGAGGAATTTTGCAAGAAAGTTATGGATTCCCAGTGACTTCAACAATCATGGCGTCTGTAACGTTTTTCTTGGGCATAATGGGTTGCATATTTTTCTCGGTGAAAACCAAACCCAAGAAACTAGGCTACTCTCGTATTCCCAGCAGTGAAGATCTTACTGATTCATGGAAGAGCGGATTAAGTCGTCATTCCGAAACAGAGAAACCCGCATATTATTCACTTTTGGATCCAGACTTTCGATTACAAACCAATGGTATACTCTATGGCGATTCGAAAAAAATTGATGACGTAAGTATTAAATATAAATTATGAATATCTCTTTAATATATTGACGCATTTATGATTACAGTATCGCATTGGATATGACAAATTGAATAACGTTGGCTATACGCAGAAAGGCGCCTGCGAAGTCTGAAACCGCACTGAAAATGTGATAATGTAATAATGTGATTTATTTACCAGTTATTACTAATTAAGATTAATGTGATTAACCAACTATCTGTTTATTATCTAGATTTAATTTACTGCAGATTGTTATACTGTACTACTGAAAGTTTAAAGCGTGTAATATTTACAAATAAATAGTATCGTCAAGTTATTTTCAAAAATTATCAATCACTATAGGCAACCTAACATCCATCTTCGTCAAAACATAACCCAGTCAAAAGCACGTCGTTGCGTTCTGTGCTTCAATATTTCAAAATAAACGCTTGACAAACACAAAATCATTGCACAAAATGGTTGTAACGAAAAAAGGTTTAAGTGACGGAAGTTCTGACAGTGATAACGTAGCTGACAACGACGCAATTCCTTCTGATTCAGACTCAGATTTCGATTCTGATGATGATTCAAGTAGTGATGAAGACACTGGCCCTCAAGACCTTACAGCTGCCAGTGCAAACGAATCAGATCACAGAAGTGATGATGAACACGTTGAAGAGGAAGAAGAAGATGAAGTTATCAAGGCAATACGTCGTGAAAATACAAAAGAAAGAGACCATCCACCAATTATCAAAAGTGAAGATCACATTGTAGACATATCTTTTCATCCTCATGAAAATATACTTGGTGTAGCATCTATAACAGGGGATGTTTTTTTGTATAAATATACAAATGATGAGAATACACTTGCACAAACACTGGAAGTGCATACAAAAGCATGCAGAGATATTGAATTCAGTGAGGATGGTAACATTTTGTTTTCAACTTCAAAAGACAAAAGCATTATGTTATCCAATGTGGAAACAGGGGGTTTAATAAGATTTTATGAGAAGGCACATGATGAGGCTGTGTACTGTCTGAGTGTCTTGGATGAGAATCTTTTTACTACAGGTATGTAAAATGATTAGTTTCTCTAATTTTACTTGGATATTAAGTAATTAAATATTAAAATTAAGGTGATGACAATGGCGTTGTTAAATTATGGGATCTTCGAGAGAATAAAGACACACCAGTTTTTCGGTTCAAGAAAAATGAAGATTACATCAGTGATATTATCTCAGGAGATGATAAAAAATATTTGATTTGTTCATGTGGAGATGGCTCTTTGACAACATATGACTTACAACAAAGGTTTGAAAATTGCCATATCAACTTAGATGATATTTACATGATAATTTAACTTTCAGAAAATTCCTAATGCAATCAGAAGAAAACGATGACGAATTTACATGTCTTGGACTGTTCCGACGCGACACAAAATTGTTGGCTGGTTCAACAAAAGGACGACTATACTTATACAACTGGAACGAGTTCGGCTTGCACAGTGATATCTTTCCCGGGCCGAAAACCGCAGTAAATGCAATGATTCCAATAACAGAGAACATAGTAGTCACCGCTTGTGAGGATGGAATCCTACGAGCGACACATTTGTTCCCGCATCGGCATTTAGGGGTAGTTGGTCAACACGATTTATCAGCTGAACGTGTTGATATTTGTAACAATGGTCAATTTATCGCATCGTGCAGTGATGATAATGATATTAAATTTTGGAACATTCAATACTTTGAAGACTTTGAAAAAATGTCGGAGAAACATAACAAGAATAACAAGAAACGCGAAATGGAGTTCAACCTACCCTCATCAAAGCGTCAAAATGTCGCAGATTTCTTCAGCGATTTATAGATATTTATATGCCATGTAAATAATTATTATTTTGTATGCTGTTCAATAGAAGGCGTTGAATAAAGTTGGTTATTATTCTGAGTTGGCTTTGTAATAATTGCTAATCTATTGCAATAACAACGCAATCAATATTTGTATGTGAAACATGCGCGTGTGCAGAATATGTTTAAAGCAATCGTCTAAACTGGTCTACGATTTGGATTTTGGCTCGCCGACGATTCGCGCCAAGTTGTTAACGTGTATTCAGAATATCGTAAGTTGACGTATGGAAATAAATCGATACTAATTGATTATCTCTGACAGAATTCACGATTTCTCGACGTGAATTACTGCATTTGTGAAGTATGCTTTACCGCCCTGAACACCGCGTATGAGCTGCGCGAAATGCAAATGACCGCTGAGGCAGAAATTAAATCCGTAATGATAAACGTTGACGATTACGCCAATTTGAACCAGTATGTACTGGAAGCTTCGCGGCGTCGTGAAAAACTCTACAATAATAAAATACAAGTACGCGCTGATGGCATTCTTCTGAATGATATTAAAGAAGAAGAACAATTGGCGGCCATTGCTACCATAGATCCTACAGCATCAACTTCCAGTCAAGATGCAGATCCTTTTCTAATACCATTAACAACTACTCCTAATACTATTGATACCGTAAACGCTATGGGTTTACATGTGTTACAACACACTTCTGAAATGGCGGATGAGAATCTAGCTAGCACGTCAGCTCAATCCGAGCCTGAATTTAAAGTACCTTATGGAAAGATGTGTCACATTTGTTTTCGGCAATATCCAAACCGCACGTGTTTATTGAGTCATGTACGTGCTGTGCACCAAACTCAGGGCAAAACTAGAGTTATCAAACGTAGCGTATTGAATAGGAAACTACATCTATTGTCACCGGATGAAATGTGCGCTATTCATAGTGAAGTGGCGAAGAAGTGCGAACAGACGCAGTGTTACGAATGTAGAATTACATTAAAATGCGCGCATGAATTGCAATATCATATCACAGCGATACACAAGGGCTACACGGTTAACAATATCAATTTTAATGTCAAATGCAACATTTGCTCGGCAACCTTCGGTCATAAATATTTAAAGCTGCACCTGAAGGGGCATGAACTCCAAGTAGGAGTGGAGAATATATTTTGTGAAGAGGTAAAAGGGCAAGGTGACAATGGAGAGGAGAACGAATTATTACATTATTGGCAGTGTCAAGCTTGTAAAGTGATGTTTAAAAGTGATGAACAATCAATGGAAGAACATCTGAAGATGCATCAGACTTTAGAAAAATAATTAATTGTTGATATTTATATACTTGTTATGTTTTGTGTGTTGCCAAATATAAATTAATTTATTAATTGTTTTCATGTGATCTTTCTCTATTATTCTAAAAATAATGTAATGTTGTGTTTGATATTGTATAATTCGTACAAGTATCATGATTTTAACAATAACTAATGTGAAGTTGACCAAAAATTACAAAAGTTTAGAGTATTTATACTAAATTTAAAGTTTAAAAACACAATTTTGAATTGATTGAAATCTGTCGACATTAAAATCAAATCTACGTATTTGCAAAACGTCGACAAAAAAGGTAATTAGGAAATCAACTTCCGGAGAACGTTTTTTAGTTTAGCGGTAGATTATTATCTATGCGCATAGATGTCTGCCGTATGTAACCAAGCCTGATGTGACTGAAATTAATTTTAAAAGTGATAATCAATAAAACAATCCCCTCAAATAATTTTAAGAATTAAATCTTTGATTTTAATTTTACTTATATTTAATTTTTGTTTCCCATTTCCAATATAAGCTAATTATTTATTGCTCAATTTTGTGCATCCTTTTTCTTGGAAGTTACCTCAATATATAAACTTATAGACAATCCCAAAAATGTCTTATGCAAATAGAACTGTTCTTCCAACCGGTATGAACCTGTTGGAATATTTGGTGGGAAAGTGCTCCCATCGAACTTCTGATTGAAAGCAACTATTTGCATAGTCCTGACAGGACAATCATTAAAAGGCGCTCCGTCTATGTACCGTGGATTTACAACAACTTTGTAAAAATCACGTTTAATTGTATCACAAAGATCCAGATCAAAATCAAGTAATTTCAAGCGATAATCTGGGCCGATTTTCTTGTAGGCACGAGTCTTGAGAGTGACTTTATTTATAGTTCTATCAAAAGGTATTTTCGTCTCAACGCTTACGTTAAACGCGAATTCTCGGCGATTAAGTCTGAAGGATTTGATCCATGCATCTTTGATTACGGTTTTGTTGAAAAAATCCATATGGGTATGATGCAGTTCTACAAGATAAGAGTCTTGCGGTTTCCACTGCAATAACAGTCTTTGGATTACTTATTTAATATTAAAAATCAATACTATACTTGGGCATTTCCAAAATCGGTGTATAAACAAGCCAAGATGATTAAAATCGCAAACCATTTAAACGGAAAATACAGTTGCGCTTTATACATTATTATTTGAACCCGATTGAATACTGTGGCACCAAGAGACAATGAAGTTACTCAAAAATTTTGAACATTTAGTATTTATACTATTTCATAAATGGCAAAAAATCACAATTTAGGGACGATTAAAATCTGCAAATATTAAAAACATATCTGCATATTCGCAAAACGCTGACAAAAAAGTCAATTTAGAATAGATTTCCGGAGGACGTTTTTTAGTTTAACGTTAGATTGCTATCTCCGGGCATAGATGACCGTTCTGCAGCTGTTCGGACCTTTGAAACTAAAGGTTAATAACTTAACAGACTTGTACATTACGATTTTAAGTATCAAGTTCAAAATTTTAAACCGTAAGCACCAAATGTTTTACAATAAACAGGGTTCCTACTGCTTGTAAGTCTTTTTAGTCTTAATTTTTAACATAAATATTTCGAATAGTTGTGTGCATTAAACATGGTTATTTGCGTAAATCTTGTTAAGGTAAAATTCTAAGTTAGTAATAATATTTATACTCTCTTAGATTTTCGTTGAAGAATAACTTGGTATGCCTTTTGACTAGACCACTAAAACAGAACAATGGTAAGTTAACTATTTTGATGCATCGTACCTGTAAAAAATATGTAGTTAAGAAAACACAAGTTAATAAAAACATTATAGTAGTTTTTCTGGTAATTGGTTTCCTATAAATTTGTTCAACTTATTATCACTTAATTAGAATATAATGACATTTAAATTGAGTTTAATTAAATAGCAACTGGACATCCGCGTAACCTCCAGATTGGAAAGATATTTGCAAAACTTTACCAATACTCACAAAATTCTAAAACTATAGTGAAAACTATTTTTCATAAACCCGCAAGAAATGGTGAAATCTGAAACAGATGAAATGTTATGCAAGAAGACATAGGTATAAGGATGATGAACGCATTTCATTTCTGAAGCAGATAACACCTAAAACAAACCATAGATTTATTAAAAAAAATAATTTAGGTCTGGTATAATAAAAGAATGTTGCTTATATAAAATTTTATCTTTATTCTTTTGAGTACAAATTTTTTTATCTAAAAGAAAACATATTAATACATTTCTAAATTTCAACTTAAAAGTGGGTGATTAGTAGAAGGGTGATCTCATTCACACTCATAATAAAGCCAGACATCAAAAATATTACTTCGATATTTATATTGACATTTCATCGTTAATTAATTGAGGAAATTAGGAAAGGGGATTTTGAGAGGACCTAATACGACCCTGCCTATTCAAGGACTCTAAACCGCGGAGCTAATATTCGCGAGGACTTCTGAAAACGGAAAAATTGATTAATAAATCGCGGTGACTTCTGAAAGCGGAAAAGATTATTATATGTATAACACAAATGTTTCAAATGATTTAAATTGTATGAATTGTGATAATAATATTGTGACATTAGTATGTCTCGCTATTAAGACATTTTAAAAATATTTATAATCATTTTTTTATATAGTTTTCATACTTAAATCATTTAAAATAATATATACATGAAAAAATATAAAGGCCTTAAACTAACACAATTATCATTCACACACTAAAGGGTTGGAGGATAGGATTCTTAATTCTATCGCGTTATTTATTTGACTTGCCTAACAATATACGCAACTAATAATCACAGACCGTTACAAAATACGTATATAATATACTTAATTGTATAGGTATGTTATGTATAATACCCGCGACCGCGTTAGACGATCTGTGATTGGGGTGGCGAAACGGTTTTCGCCGCGGAATATCCAATATACACAAGTATAAACATAGTAAATATAAACAAATGCATTCATACAACAATTTTCGAAAAGGTTTCCATTCATCAGTATACACAATTCATACATTTTCAACGCGCGAAGTTTTACGGTCGCGTATTATGTTGGCTCAGATATTTCGGAATTCTGAACAGGTAGCAAAATACTTGACCCTTCATCGACAGGGTACTCTTCTATTATTTTTCCACCTTTAATGGTGTGCATCGCGCCTGAAATGCCTGATACTCAATTGCGAAAACCGATGGACACCGAGTCCTAAAGATTAACGGTAACGTAGATTACGGTGGCTTAAACATTTATATATTCGGGGTATGTCGATTCGCCACAGCCAGTTCTCAATATCTTTTTAAATTATAAGTACGTTATTACTTGGTAATAATTATTATTGCTAATAAAAGTCAGGACGCGTACTTAGCCCGGCGTAATAAAGATTAATAAGTAATTTTTTAAAATTGTGACTATGCCTTAATACTGTTCTCTTTTTTTTAAATAATAATACGTTTCCTTCCAGGAAATACGTTTTTTTTTTTCTCTTCATATTAGATTTTTGGCATCTACCTTGAATTAAAACTTGATAAAATTTGAATAGTTTGAATGTCGCTATTACTGTTTCCGTAGCGCGACCCGCTTATCTACATAAATGAGAATAGAGAACTGGCTACAGCGAACGGACACGATGCGCGCCTGAAAACACCCGAAAAGCAAACGCGAAAACATTTCTCTATACGGATTTAACAAATTGACTCGGAATATAATATAAATACAAGACATCCAGTTTGGTGTCAGGTGTACTCACCACTTAAAGACATCCGGCGTTTCTAGCAATGCTGGGTGGATTATCCCTGGACCAAGGATATAGCCACAAGTGTAACTCCCCTTCGGCTGTCGCATACGCAGCAAAATGCTTTGCGCAAACACCAGTCAGAGGCACTCATAACTACCCTCCGATCCAAGTTATCACCACGACTCACCTTAATCCGGCTCCTAGAAACTGGGATCCTACGTCAGTTTCTCAGGAGGACGCGTCGATATTTTCCAAACTTGTGTCCAAAACGCTGGTAGGTTGCTTGTAGGCGACTCTCCCCCTTCATCCTTCATTGGATTGGAATGTCTTTGGGCATACACTTCCAAAACGAATTACTTTGATACTTTTATGAACACGGCGCGCACTCGGTTACGATAACATTTGAATGACATTAACAGGTTAAAGGAGACTTGACACACACAGGGGTTTACTCGCGAGCAAATTAAACGATTCAATCAAAACGCGTCGCGACCCGCACTCGATGAGTATTTCGTTACACCTCTCCAGGTTAATCGCGAATAACGTTTGTCATTTATACCTGTAAATATAAACAAATATTAGAATTATTTGAAAGGCGATAGATGCTCTGTTACTCTGAATTGCCAAAGATGAGACAAATGTAGTTTAATATTAATAGTAAATACTAAGAAAACTAAAAATGTGAAAATGAAATGTGAAATGTGAATGTGAAATGAAGACGCCTGCAGGAGTAGTCGATCAGAAAATTAAAAAAAAAATGTATTAAAAAAATAGAAAAAAAATCCAAATAATGGTTAATTAAAAACCGTTCGAGTAATGAAAATTAAGAAATCTAAGAAAAGTTAAAGCAGAGATAAATAAAAAACAAATTTAAAGATTTAATAAAATTGAAAAAATGCTATGAATTTAAATAAGAAGCATCAAAATAGTTAAGCAAGAAGTGAGTTAAAAGAAGAAGTGATATCAGAACATACGAGTACAATAAATACAATAACCGAATACGAACGCGCCCGAGTTACAAAGGATCCCAAATATAATCGAATATGTACCTGAAAAATAAGCAGAAAGACCAATTAATAAAAGCTAATTTAATAAATTATTAATTTTTTTAATCACGTTTTTGTTAGACCGCGCACTTCACTTCGCTTTCGTTTTTAAAATTTTCGGAATACGAGTTATGTAGATTTGATAAAATAAGAACGCGACACGACCGCAAATAGCGAAAAATATTCGCAATAAAAGATGACTCAAAAGAAAATTAACCTTTGTGACAATTTTCAAACCTGTTACCAATAATTATATTGCTGAAGAGATTTAATTATCTCTGTGCCCTAAAGCCCCATGTGACCTTCAATGACCTTCAACCTGAAAATAACATTAAATTTACTAATAATAACTAATTGTAATTACTAATAATAATAATAATAAGTAAGTACGCTTATTATTAATTACTGAGGATAATTCATTAGTTAGTTCGCCGGCCGATAGACAAAAACCCATGAAGAAAACAAAACATTAAAATTAAAAAATTAAATTTTAAATCACGCACTGTGTAAAATAACTAAAAATATTTCTAACTTATAAAGGTATTTCCACAGAGAGAGTTTTCTAATACATTTATAAGTTAAAAACGTTGCATACTAGTATCAACACAACACAACACAAGTATTCTTAAAAATATTTCGATTTTAGAGTTTGTTTATATCGCAGGTATTGAAATGCGTTGGAATGTTGAAATCAAAACAATCGCATCGCGATTTTATGCGATAACAAGTCTTTGCAAGCGAATATTCCAGCCACAAAGCACACATCAAAACATCTAAAAGTGGTCGAACAACTGATAAGGTGATCGCGCACACTCGCTAGTGGTGTTTGCACTCGCTACAGCCCGGTACACATACACGCGTACACACATACACATAAAACCCAACCGATATAATCTTATTAGAAAAAAACGCAATTATACAAAATTAATATTTTTGCGAAAATTAAAAAGCCATGCAAAAGCCTTACTTGGTATCACTATGCACACTGATTTTAACTTAATTAAATAATACTTTAATCAGATAACTGGAGCTCTCGCCGAATCTTCCGCACCTCCTCGCTGCACAAACGAAAGTGGTGAAATAAAGCATGCAGCGCGCTGAGTGCACACTTCTGCGCGCGAATTTGGACGCAACGTTGCCAAAAAAGAAGAGTTAGAACAATACCAACATAAGTTTGAACTTTTTATTTCACAGATGTCAGCGTACTACGCCCAAAATTAACTATCAAATTAAAATTACAGGGTTTACAATCATTATTTGTCACTTTCTAGCACCACAATTAATATTAAACTTAATTAAAATTAATAATCCATAAATATAACACATATTAATTAGAGTAAACTTAATATTTAATGTTTATACTTTTTGTTATAACTAATTTAACATGATTACTATAATCATAAATTAAGAACTATAATTCCTTTAAAAGAACGTTATATCCTCTGAAAATGCTCCACAAAGTCTAAACTCATTTTTCGACAACAATGCTCTCAAAAACTGTACGCTTTTATTGGAATAAACAGCTGGACGATTGGCATTCACCCTCATAACAAATTCACGTTCATGTGGTTGTGGAAATGCACTTGTAGTCTGTAGACTTTCCAAGTTCACTTCACCAATTCCCAAACTTGAAACTTTCTGTGCTTCAGTAAACATACTAAGTATCCGGGCACCAGCTTTCGATTGCTCTTTACCAACAATCTCAACTTCTTTACTTCTAATCATCTGTGATACCATCAAACTCAACTCTTCATCATGACTACCTTCGGGGTTCAATTTATACAGCAATGAATTTCCTTGAGCCAAGGCCAATTCCAATGGAATAAGCTCTTGAACCAACAATTCATATCGTCTAGTATTGATTTTTCCTTCCCTGGACAGCCTCTCAACAGTTTTCGTCAAGTGTTGTAAAGTCTCTGATGAATTCTTAATAGGAATATTAAGTTGAACACATTCATCTTCAACACGAGCAAGAGAGGAATGTGATAAAACAGGTAATAACAATTCAGATATTTGTGATAAAGTGCGAGAATCCAGAAAGTGTAAAACTTTTTCAGCCTCTCTGGTATCATCAAACAGTCGCCGCTGTCTATTGGCAGGAACAGCCTTAGCAGAATTCCATGTTTCAACCCAGGTGTTGTTAGCAATCAGCATGCGAGAACTGAGATGACCTTTCGGTTGACCCCATTCATCTTCTTCTTCGTCTTCAATCCAATCACGTGGAGAATACCATCTAATAAAATCTTCTAAAATGGAACCAGGATTAGCAGCTTTAAAGGACTCCATATCTGATAATAGGGAAGCGCTCATCATTCGTGCCCTCAGTTCTGATCCTTGTGCATCCGATCCAAGTTTCAACAATATATCAGTGTATTCTTCAAGTTGATCTTCTGTTTTCGGGACGGGTTCCTGCGTAATTGGTATGTACAACTGATTACCAGTTTTAATCAACTTCATACTTTCAAACTTTCCTAATCTACCAACAGGTTGATTCCATGGCAGATACCGTTGGCGACTCTTCTGTTCTTCGGATAATTGCTCGTCATCTGCGTCGAAAAACTCCTCCTCGCTTGAATTTCCTTCATCGAACGATTCAAACTCTTTGTCAACGATCGCAGATTCACGGCTCTTCTTGCGCTCGATGCAACAGTTCAGCATTTGCAGTTTTTGATGCAGTAGACATGTCCTAGCATCAGGAAAACCAGGCGCCAATCTACAAATTGAAACAAAAACAGAAATCAATTTATAGCTTACCAAATTCAACGAACAAGTGTTCAGGGAACTGTTAGTGAAATAATAACTAATGGAATTATTTATGGGAGCGGTCGCAGCGTTGAAATTTCGTTTCAGATGAATCAACGCGCGTGTAAACTGCACGCCTCGCGAATAGTTGCGAGTAAGTGGAGCACGGAATGCGTGCCCAAGACTAGTCCTCAAGCTTCAAACCTTACCAACATCGAGTTAAACTACTGCTAAAACCAAAAAGCATGCGCAACGAGCAGCGTTTTTCAAATCAGAGACAAAACATTACAACTGCCGACAAAGTCGAAGCCGTTAAGATGTCGACAAAAAAACCATCATTGGTGTAGATTACGAATGTTTATTACTTCTAGAGCGCCAGATGCAACAGCAAAGAAACGTAGAAATGAACGGCAAGAAATCGCATTAACTTCGATTATTGTCACCTTGGGTGCTCTAGATTTGCTCAACCCGCTACAATCCAATTTAAATCCATTACGATAAGAAAAAAAAGCGCGATGTGGCTCGTGCAAAGTGTGAAAAAGTATCGCAATCATCATATATTATTTAAAAACATAGATTTTGAAAAAATGAATTACGACTTGACCCACCTAAATATTTATATTTTACTTTCTTCAAATGTGAAGTAGTAGTAGCACTAAAATAGTAGGTAAAGTTTTGAGGCAATTATGACTTCAATGTCACTTGAGCATATTGTGCTCCAGAAAGAAAAAACGAGATAATAATTGGTTCAAAACTCAAGAGTAAAGCGACACACGCAATCCTTATTAATGTCTGCATGAAATTTACTAATGAATTCCCATGAGAAAACCCACAACAAAAACGCTGCAAATTAAAGCAATTGTCAATTGTGCACCGCTTGTATTCGTCTAAATTTAAGATTTACGAATCCAGATTGAAATTAAGAGTAAACCATTGCATGCGCAGATGATTACGGAGTATTACAACAGATTATACTAATAATTACAATTAGGATTTGCAACAGACAAACGAACAAACAAAAACTAAACATTTTGTGGAGTTATTCGCCGGATTTTTAAAGAATGGTCAAAGATTTCGAGAAATTTATAGTAATTTGTGAACATTTACAAAAGAATTGTTACCATTTGTATTAACTGCCGAAAACAATTCGTACCAACATCGAAAAAAAAAACAAAAAAAAAAACAGTAAGTAAGAGTTGAGAGTTTAAAAAAATGATACATTTCACTTTTCAGTCGTCATAAGTTTTTTTTCTTCAAATTATAGGTTGAAAAAATAAACCTAAAATTTAGACGAAATTTCTTTTAAATTACCAGCGAAACAAACTAGAAACGAATTCAATGAGGATTTACAACGAGAGTAAAGTGAATTTTGGTGAAAGACGTCAATTAAAATTTAATGACCAGTAATACAAATTTAACTTGTATAATAATTAGGCAAAATAAATCAAAATCAAAGAAAAAAATCCTTTTGTTGGCGTGTAGATGATGCTCATCATTTCCTTTGAATTCTTACATCCTGTATCATCACGACACACCCGCTGCATAATAAAAAAACACAACGAGCGTCAAAAATAAGCGATACAAGTCTCTGAACAAACAAAATCAAAGCCAAGTAACCGGCACCCAGCGTGAGCGCACAAACACACCGCGTGTTTTCTTCTGGTGCACCATCAGGTTGAAGGTATGCCCAAGTCCACTGGCTGCAACAACCTGGTGAATAACAAGCGGTCTTTACACACCGCAAACTACCAGTTCAGTGTGTGTAGGTAATACCTCCAACCTCCAACGGTGAGCGTGGAGCCGCGGCTGTTGCAGGTGCCGAACGCGAAGACCACAAGAACGCAAGAAGTAGTGGTAGTGGACAGTCAGCCGCAGTAGCTCACCGAACGCGGATCGCTCAAAGAAATCGCGTCCGTTCGCGGTATCGCAAAAAATTGGTGCTTCTTCTTCGATATAACTCATAACATAAAAATAAAAAATAATTTCAAGGACGTGCTTTACTGTTAAATTCACCAACTGATAGGAAATCAAAGTGCGATCAATTACAACCATCGGATGAGTGCGCATCGAACGCAGACGCTGTGTGGTTTACTAACTGGAACCTACCGTAAGTGCATACACACTTAATCAATTTTAATTGTAATTACACACCGGTGCGTCGCAATCATTGCATACAATTAAACACGCATGACGCTGACTTTTTAATTATTTTCAACTTTTTGAGTTGAGTTGGAGCGTCTTGTAGTAATCGAGTCAAGAACGCAGAGTGTAAACTAATTAATAATTAAAAATCATCGGTAATAATAATTAATTGGTCATTAATGTGTAACTATGTAGCGAAAAATTGTAGAAAATTGCGCATATTACACGAGGTAAAAAACAATAATTAATTAATAAATTTTAAAATGTGCTTAGGCAGAGCTATAATACCATGTTAAATAATCGTATAATAATATTTGATTATAGCTCATCTTTTAACGACTCTTCCTTATTTGGATAATTAAAATCCTCAATCCGTTATTACACTCCGTGCAACAGCCGTGAAACCGGGCGAAATTGTGCCAAACAAGAATCTTTAACGTTATTAGCGCCAAACAATCATAATGTGTTAGATTACGGTACAAATTATATAAATATTATTAAGCTGTATGTACTCTCGGCTCAAATAATAACCAATTCAAATTTTTCGAGTCATGTTCAAGTTCAAGTAACCTATTTTTCGACTGTGCATCACATACGAATAATTTGGATGATTATAATTACAACAACTCATTAAAATATTATTCGACGGCACCCTGTATATAAATTAAAAGCTATTGTAATGTATTCTAATAGCCTAATGCGTAATGTGTTGAGGAGTTTCGGCTGGCAGGCCACTCGAAGCGCGCATTGTAAGAATGCACATTATCCACAATCTGGAATCGCTTGAATCGCAGGAACCGTTAATTTGTTAATTAATTTTTCTCATAGACGAGCGCCGTGCTCATCGCTGTGACTAGTTGACTGAACCGTGCGCGCAGTCACATCACTGACACATATAAATTTGCCAGCGCGGTTTAATTACAGTTAATTTTTTTCACCCACATTTCGAGAGCGAATTAATTTGCATCGTTAAAACAATGGCCCCGCAATGGCGCTACCAGGCCAAAACTGTGTTAATTGTGTTCAAAATATCGTAATTTGTACGTTTTTGAACTTAAACGTTGCAATTAATGAATGCGTCGTCCTTGAGTTTCTCTGTGCATTCTACACATTTGCAACAAATGCATTCACGTTCGATTTGTGTCGGCAAAGAACTAGAAAATGTTAATAATGTTCAAGATCTGCAGATCTTGTTAATATAGATATGAGATGCTAAACACGGCAATTTCTATTAGAACGGAAATCTTAACGACTTTATTTGTATCACAGAGTTAATAAATGAATTAATAAAGTCTTAGTATTAGTAAACTATCTAAAAATAGACATTTGCTTGTTTTCATTTCTTGTATTTTGCGTTGAATTTACCTCTGCCTCCACCAAATGCAATGCACACCACGCTGCAATCTCTGCCTACGTAATGCGGTTTTATTTTGTGGAATGTAGACTGACCACTCTGGATGCCCCCCAACCGTGTGCGCACGTACATATTCTTGAAGATTCTCTCTCGCGACCACAAAATGCACAAAACAACGCGCTGAAAAGCATCTCCATGCACATAAACTATCTGCGCGATGTGTCTTCGCTTCTTTACCACGTATCAACGCATGTTGTGCCAACAACACCAACGACAACAACGCCTACGACTCAATTTTCTCTCAGTCTTCAATTCACCAGTCAACCCATCAAAAATTCTTCTCTTCACCTGACGCGTCGTGAATACAAATGTGATACGTGATATGCATGTAAATTAGCTGCAGGTTAAATAGGTGTGATGGATGAGTAAGAATTACTTAAGCCTGGCTTCGGATAGTAAAACATAGCGACAAAATCTCCAAGTGTGTTGTAATGCATTTTCTTTGGATAGCGTGTGCGCATGTGGAGCTTTCGAGCTTTTGTTGTTTACCTGGCGAAATGAAACCTGTTGGTCGCCGCGACGCGCCGCTTCGTTCGTTGACTTCTAACGGGCCGAAAAATGAGATCCAGCCAAACAACAAACAAGTGAGAAGTTACTCACTAGCTAAGAAGCTTAGCAGAACACGCAGGAAAAAAATACTATATGAGCAGCGATCGAGAGCAAACCATTTCTTTCTAGACTAGTCTAGTCTACAGCAGATGCTTGATAAACGCGTTAAATCGAATGAAAAAAATTGTCGCGTTTCACAATAAATTCCCTGAAACATCGTAAATGAGCCGTGATAAACATTAAGTGTTCATACATATAAACACATTTAACCACTCACCAAGGATGAGCATAAAGTAAAAAAAGATGCACTGTAAAATATCCCTGTGATTTGTTTATCATAATTTATGACAACATAAATAATGCTATAATTTCTTTCTTCCGATGCACTATAATCGCAGGGTTTATGATTATTACATCGCTAATAAATTGTAGCTAATCATTGAATTGTCTGCGCGTAACAGTAACCGGCAATATGCTGATTATTGAAGTGAATAAACAGTAAAATGCACCGTTCGCAATGTTGGAATTACAACATTAGATTAAAACGATTACATGCAACGATGCATTTATAATAAAAACATATACGTGTATATATGTGCATCGGATGCTTGACCAGCATCACAACAACTAATGGTTGGCAATCGTTTTGTCTTCCATAGCAATGACTAATTAACGCCGGGTGAGAGCTAAACACCGGTTCAAAGTCGTTAAAATCGCACCTTTTGATTGCACCTTCACTTATTGTAATAATAGCGAGGAATTTTTCAGCAGAATTAATCATTATGAAGGTTGTGTGAAATGCAATATAATTACTTAATTAATTTTTTTGTTATATAGTAAAGATTAATTTACGTTTAAAGATGTAATTAACCTTGTCCTTAGTTTATAAGCTTAGTTATGAAGAAAAACATTGCCAAACTATTTGTTTGCTTTGATTTTATTCAACCGAAACGTGTGAAATTAATTTGATTCTATTATTTTTATTGCTTTATTATAATTGTGTCGAAATAGTTCTCACAATCCCGCAAAATGTACCAGGTGTCAAGTTCACTTTAATTTTTGCATAATTTAAGGAAATCGTAAAATTGGTAAAAGTGAACATAAGAATAAATTGTTTTCTATAATCGATTTGTAAACTCAACTCGGAAGTTGTTAATCCGGGATTCTAAATTGTAAAGTGTAACGAAAAAGGTTACAATATAACTCATGATAAGTTAAATAGAACTTGTGGAAAGTTCAAGCGTACAAAATAAACGTTATAAACAATATAAATGTTATAAATGATATTGTTATAGTATAGAAAGCCGATAAAGTCGTGCATCATGATAAAACGATTCGAATTAATTGTTTCCCATGTGTGCGTATCACGACAATCACATCGGAAAGTGAAAAAAAAGTTTCGAAATGTGATCAAATAACACATAAATTTATCGATATGTTTATAAGATAACATCTGTATGAATTTATTTATGATCTAATAAATTTTCACACATTTCACATTCACACACTAATTTACATATCAAATTTCTTTAAAAAAACTCACTTTTTAAGGTTAATTAAGAAAGTGACCAGTTTTTATTTGAAACATTTTGAAACATGGAAGGTTTAAACATAGCCTGAAGGTGATAATTTTTTCACAAACAAAACGTCTAACAATTTTTTTAATTACAACGAACAGTAAAGCTACTCGTAATTATATTGTAAGGATATTGTAAGGTAAAACCGCCTCAAGATTTGAAACTCAGACGAAACATTACCGACCGGTGAAATTTCAATTGTTCCTCCGATAAATGCGTTTCATTTACAGTGAAAATTAACCGAACAATAAATCAATGTGTACATTGTACATACTGGTATATCAGTAAATGTATATTAATGACTATGTACTCAAAAATAAAGAAAGGAGATGATTGAAGAGATTATTTTGGAGCGTTTTTTTTCGGTCTAAATTTGTACGGTCCAATCATTAATTTCACACTCACGTGATGATACACTTATTGAACCAAAATTATAACAACGTTTAAGAAAAATGAAAGGAACGCGAATCAGTTTTTCGGGTTAAAAATAACAGAAAGTAAAAGTGATATTTTAGATTGAGATTTAAAAGTTATAGGTGCAGATTTATTAGAATGTAATTAACCTAAAACTTTTTTTAAAAACGTATTTTTTACTTAATAAATTGTATATAATAGTATTATTATATTATCTATTCATACTCATATGGGTTTAATGTATTGCACAATCATAGAACAATATACAACAAATTTGAACAATGCCGAAGAATAAAAACCTACATAGTTGAATTACACATCATTACGCCTCACACACCCAATAATCTGATTATTACCACTCTTAAAAATAAAATACCAATTATTTTCGTTTATCATAGATAATAAATAATTCAAAAACACATTCTTATGCAAGTAATTTCTTTTGTTTTATTTTTTAAATGTTTGTTTTCAAGTTTCATAAGTTATCGTGAGACTAAAACAATTGAACCGCAAAAAAATGCAAAATGACACGACACGAAACATCTTCAACAGTAGAACCTCCTCATTACAACAATAATTGAACTGTAAAATGATTTGTACTAGAGGACAAATCGTGCATAAAATTCTGTCCTAATTTTTAAAAATATTCAGCCACGCGTCCAATTTGTTCTTATTGCGCGACGAGTGCAATTTTATTTGCATAATTTCATAACATTTTCACCTATAGTACACTTACTCGTTACTGCAGAAAGAGTAATAGAAATAACAATAATTTAGTTATAGAAAGACAAATTCTTTTACACAATTTTCAATTCAATTTTCTGCATGCACTAGAATGTACACGTATGCATTTGGATGTGGTTTTCTGTTAGCATCATGAGAGTTTTTCGCATTCGCATTGCACCGTTGCGCATTTCGTATTTTCACATTGTGGCTTATTGCTTATTCAATTCATAATTGTTGGCTTTACTCTCGTCTGTCTGCTCGCGACAAATTCACGTCGGTTTCCATTCATTCATTCAGTCTTGAACATTTTCTTATTTCGTTATGCACGTCTTGTTGTTTTAGTTATTATTATCATTCCCATGAGCGTTTAATTTCTCGAATTGTTTGCTCGAGCAGAGTGTTATATTGTAATGGCGTCGGCGTTAGGATTCATTTGTCTTCGAAATTTCGTAATTTCTTGGCGATTTAAAGTGTGGCGAAAAGTAAAGTGCGCTGAGATTATGAACTGCCCTCATTGTTCGAGTCTCGCACAATTGTTTTGGGTAATGCAAATTTTCGCGTTTTATTATTACAATTTTTAGCCAAGCACCAAGCATCTTTTTCCATTGCGTAAACGATGATGTTTTCATTACGACGTGAAAATTTTAATTACTACATGAGAATTAAGAACAAAAAAAGCACACAATCAGAATGAATTCGTATGCCACACAAGAGTTAAATATGTGTTCCAGTTGTTTAGTATCTCAATTATTTTTACACCTCAAATTAAAAACCTATAAAAACTGTATTACATAACACTAACCGCAAAGGTATTACAGATAAAAAAACGCGCGATATAAACTATCATCAAAAAATCGAAGAAGAATATTCTTCAATCAAATTCTAGGTACTTTAGTGTAATTTTATGATAAAGTTCGCAAGCCACCGCAAACGCAACACACGCAATAATGGCTGTAATAGATGCGATGGTTGTAATAAACAAGTAATGAGCTAAAGCCACACAGTTGAATAAAAAACCAAATTACGACTACTGCGGTCGCAAACATGCAATAGTAAATCAAATCGGAATAGATCGATGCACATTAATGGCAGAGACGAGTTTTTGTTGAGGTTTTACGTGAGAAATGCGTGAAATGTTCATTCAATAAATAATTTACTTGAGTATAAAAACAAGTGAATAAAATAAGCTTATTTTAAAGTCTCAAGGAGGCAAAATAAAAATATCACGTGTAGGAATCATAAAATTTACCTCTCCTCAAGACTATACTAAATCATTTTAGTAAAAAATAATGTAGAATTAAATTATTACGTGATCTGAATCAAAATAAAAACTAATTTTGTATTCCAATCTACAAAAAATCGAATTACAATTTATGTTAATTTTACCCTTCACAGTATTCAATAAAATTAATAATAAAAATCACAGTTTATGTTTTCCTACTTATACACCAATAAATATTCAATTTGTAACATTCAACAAATAATATAAAATCAATAGATTTATTTATAATTTATTTATAAGTTCAATATGGAATAAATGCAAAACCCTTCCGGCATAGATAGAGATATTCACACATGACAATCTAAAACTAGAATTTCCTTTTATCTCCCGACTCTATTGTCAGATTGTGACTTGCAGCACCTATAGCACTCGGTTTTTTCATCTTTCGCAAGTTGCAGGACGCGCTGCCTGAGTTGAAATCAATGACGCGGCAAGCTACAAAGCCGTAATGTGGCATGCGGCATTCGCGCAACTATTTGCGCAATGCGATAATTCGATTCAAAGAAATGCCCAGCGTAAGTATATCACATCCAGTCAACATTTCATCCACGATGGGAGCATCATCAATTAAAATTTACAAAAATGACTTTTTAATATTTCTAAATTTCGTAATGGTCGTCATCTTAAACATTAAAACATTAAAAATATCGTGACGGATTCATTATGAATCAAAAACTATTGCTGAGAGTAATTTAAAATTTTAATTTCAACCATTTTAGTTACTGGATGATGATGATGCTTATGTTTAGTGAGTGAGTGGATGATTAGTGAATAGCACACATTATTTATAATTATATGATTGGGTATTATGTGGACGACATGATAATCGTGATCATCAATGGCACACCTCATAGCCAACGATGAAAAATTGCTTTCTAAACGATCGAGCGACGTTCAATTACACGCACTTGATGCTCAATTTCTCATTTACAATTGCTATTGCATAAATATCACGATTGAATTCTGCAAATAATTTTTTAAATCTTCACTCCGTCATACAACTTTTTTTATGAAAGTTCGTGATTGCCGCGACATTTTATCAGACAATTGTTTTAAATATTCTTGACAGATATTTAAGACATTTAAATCTCTTATATGTTAGGGCCAATTTTAACGCATGACTTATTCTCATCATTGCAATCGTGACAGAATGATGTCAACTTAAACATAAGTAAAATTTACTTATTTTCAACAATAAAAGTAGAAAATTAAATTTTTCAATATTTCCACACGAATTTTATGTAATATTTATGTAATAAAACGATGAGAATTATATGATTGTTGATTTTACAGTTTTTCCACGCTTGTCATGCGAGCAAGCCACCGATTGTGACTTCATTGTGGCAGAAAATTGCAGTGAAGAGTTAGGTGAGTGCAAATTTCTTTACTCACTTACTTAGTTGCTATATTATGCATAATAAAAGAATAATCAATGTAATGTAACTTGAAATGGGCGGATATAATTCAGGGTAAGAAACAAACCAACCAAACAATGCGTGTAACAAAAAAAACTGAGTTAACAAACGGAACAATGTTGAACAAATTTAATAATATCAACAATACTGATTGCACAAGACGCAATAATAATGTGAAATGAGGTAAAACATAAAACTTTACTGTTTTACAAAGAAATGCTAATAAAAATTTTAAAAAATAGAGAAAGATTACGCGATGAGACAAATAAATAACTTCCGTATCAATTTCTTTCCTTGTTAATGATTCTATTAAAACCTAGTCTGAATAAAAGCAATAAATGTCCAAAGTGTCTATAAATAAACCCAAACACTCCTGGTTCAATTTAACTTGTTGAATGTTGAACGTTTCATCCATTTGGAGAAAACAGGAAGCCCGCCATCTCTTTTCCCATAACACTTTCCTGATGTCGTCGCATCGTCGATTAGCATTCGCGGTTCATTGCGTGATTAACAACGTTTTTTGTGTAACATGCTGGTTGGCACAATACCAACCTGCACTCCCAACGTCACCACTTCTGCATCCGTATATACATACCGAAAACCGAATCTGATAATTACGTAATTACACGTATTCATACGCGCGCCTTCGCGTTGTAGAACACGCCTAATAATCGTACGCCACGGAATGCAAGTCGAAATCAAGTCGAACAAAGTCGTAAATTTGGTTTATAGTTGCTTATTATTTTACTCGAACTTTGCGTTCACAGTCAACTACGCGCGGATGTAATCTGCGAATATTAGACGCAAATTAGAGACTGGCAAAGGCGGGCGAACTCACGGAGAAAGTCATAATTAGTTATTTGTTAATCAATGTGACATAACCAGGCTAAGACATCATGTAATTTTTATTCCACAAAGAGAAAATGGACCAGAAAAAAGTAAACAAGTGTTATTTATAGAACTTCACAAACAAGTTATTTAAATGTCACAGAATTAAAATTTAAAAACGTATTAATTACAGTACTTATAACTGTTTAATTATAATAATTTGTTAGGAGTTAGAATTGAACTAATTAAACGATTCGTTCTGTTGGGTAAATGAACAGTTCGTGGAACTAAAGTAAAATTTAAGAAAACGCTTAATATATTTAAAGTTTGTTACGAATATAAATTAGAACAAATTTATTCTAAATGCGCACGTTCTCTTATTACCATTTCAACATTCACTAAAAGTCCAAACATACGAAACTATGTCAAAATAAAAATTAAGCCGATTTATGATATTTGTCAAAAACTTCATTTAAACTTTAAAAATTAATTAAATTTTGTGTTAGAAAGTTTAATAAGAACAAATTCTCAATACAATTGAGTTTAAACTCGTTGCACTTGTTGTTGTTTATAAGATTATAAAATTAGTGTATTTCCAATTCAGTATTTGATCCTGTTGTGATTCTATTCTCTATACCCGGTGGGTATTTGGCGCACGCTTAATTACCAAGGTCCAATTGGCATCGTCATCGTCCAGCTACCAAGAGAGGAGTCAAGAATAAAAAAATCAAACAAAACAACCAGTTAAGACTCGCAGTAGAGAGAGGTTTAGAGATCCCGCGATGGAATCGAAATTGGTGGCGGAATTGGGTGAATCGTCGCGCTTGGTTGGTCATCACGATAATTGTAACGTGACGCCAAAGCACCAAACACCGACCATATTAGCATAATTACCCGACAACGCCTTTTCTTCAACTAAACGCTCTAACACAATACAATTTACCATCGCGTTAATTTTCGATTTCGACACAATTCCAATCAAAAATTAACCCAAAAAATACGTCGATCACTAATGCGCCAACAGGTCGCAACGCGGACAATAGAAAACAATTCGTGCGTGTTTAATTGTCGCCGACAATGGGATCACAATTGAGGCATGAAAGTGTTCCCACGTCGCGAGTGAAATATGCACGCGAGAAGAATGGCCAGGAAAACTTCTATATATGCACACCTATGTATGATAGGTATTCATACGATATGTAAGCATATTAGGCGTGTACTACTTTCTTGTTGTATATTATCTCAACAATTTGTAGCCGTTGTTACAATTCTCGCGAAGCGTCTAAGCGACGATTTCTCAGTATCGCAATACGGTAATAAGATGCATGTGTCAATAATATGTAATCATTTTTTTCGCATGTAGGTTGATAGTTGATACTATTCATTATATGAAAATTACGGTGGAAAAATGTAAGCTTTTGCAATCGGATTATAGGTACACCTACATAGAATTTTAATTATTGTAGAAGAGGTTTTGTTTTGCAATTTTGATCACCGTGGATTACGAATTATTCGCTTTTTTCTCAGAATTAAAATTTTTCCAACTTCTTACACAAGAAGACAATTAAATTCACTATTTTATTGTCCAAAAAATAAATATTCTAATCTACTTCAATCTTAATCTGTATCTGTATCAATTGTGTAAACATAAAAGATATAATACTTCACTTCAATAATTTCAACACTCGAAAGAAAGTATTTTATCTTTTATAATATTCTAACACAACACTTTTGTTTCAAATCACGTCCCAAGCTGCTGTAACCCTTTCCCCGCCTTTCGCTTCGCAGCATCGCAGAAAGAAAAGTTGCTATTACAGTTGTAAAAAGCATCGCGACGCAAGTGAACAAATCATTCGTGAAATCTGAATGGAATCTTTGTACGTACACAGTAGATCGTAAAGAAATGAAATCATGCATACGTTTCTGTTTGCTCTTTAAAACTTTTCCAGATACACATAAATGTAACTCTCTACAGAAAGTTTAGTTTTTACGCATTCGTGTGCTCTAGGCATGTAAATATGTAAATCAAAGCCGCACTTCATAATCATCATTAAAACACCAAAAAAGCACAACACAGTCTTGACATTGCACAAGTAATTTCACGCTTTTTAGGCGCCTGATTCGCTTGCGGTTGAACTTTTATTTAGTAAAAAATCTACTTAAGTGTGATAGTTAATGAGAATATGTAAATATGCAAATTATTAGTTGGATCTATGTTTTTTTGTTTAAACACGCTTGGCTGAAAGGGAGATTTTCCTTTCGGTGTTTTGTTGCCGCTTTTTACGTCCAATTATAGAGCGTGAAATTATTTTATAGCATAAAGTGTTATAATTTCATCCAAATTAATGTTTATACCTCGGGGCAAACAAATAATTTCCGAATATTTTACATGTAGGTATTTGCAAGACGATTTCGTTAACATATTTATGTTAACATTCAGAAATAAATTTTGTGGCTTTTTGAGGTGTAACAGATACCAAATCATATTTTATAAAATTATACTTTACGAATAAAATTACCCAAAGATAATTCACAAGAACATCGTGACTGTGCTAAGGTCGTGCGGCAAGTACACAATCTACGCTTTTGAAAACTCGTGTGTAGTCACATGCATCGACAAATAACAATAAATAACATTTTAAATACCATTTCGCCGTTTATGCTTTCATACGCCAGTTTACCAGTGCAAACACAACATAATAACAAAATGCATAAATTATTCACATACGTAAATTGCGACAATGATAATTAAACTTTCATATCAAACAATCTAATGAGTACTACCTTATTATAAATTTTACACTGCGTATTTAACCTGCTTACAAATATTCTATTCTCAATGATTAACAACAGATATAACGGTAGACATGTAACATTTTTGAAATTCTTTGAATTTCTTTCAATCTCGCGATGAATAGAGGCTGAAAAGTTGTTTGCCTTGCTGAATGTACCTTACTTTTACAAGTTTATTATTTATTTAAAGAATGTGCAGCACTTTAAAAATGTAGCAGACTGTTATATCACAATTACACATCTGAAATTTAAATTTAATAACAGTTGTAATGTTTTCAACGCACAATTAAAACAGTTTTGTTTCGACGCGCGCACAGCATTTGTTCCGGTCTGATATACAAAAATGTCAATATGTCAATTGTGCGCACGTGCTAATTATAAACAAACGGAATATGTACATGGTACATCAACAACATTTATTTTATTTTCCGGAACGAAATGTTATTACACAACAAAATAACTTGCTGTAATATAAGTCTTCCTAATAAATAGCTGCATGAAACTATTTTCTATCAATCATAGTACGTGTTACAGAGTGAAATCTATTGTGCAGATAATAATACCAGAAGTAATGCTCCATTATTTAATAAATTATTGTATTAAATCGTGTTGATCGATATATTTATGATTTTCACAAATATTACATCACATCGCAATTGAATACGCTACGTGGCAACATAAAGCACTAAATTTATTATGTTAACATGTTTAATTTGTTTCAGAATGAAATGTTGTCCAAACGATGTGATTAAATCAAATCAATACAATCAATACCTAATTTAAAGTCTTGCAAAAGTAAATATTACATGGATGTGGAATATTATTAATAGTGTACAAAACGTGCAAATAATTTATTGGTTATAGTAGCATTCTTTCGTATTGCAGACAGTAATTAGATTCAATGAGTAAAAGAACTAGGAAAGAATGCAGGTTGGTCGCTCTTTGTCCCAGTTACAAATTGATTTATATGCACGATATTTACAAACTATAGAATGTGTGGCATGGAATACAAATGCAATTGTTGATTCCATCGATAATGAAATATTGAAGTAAAGCAAAAAAATTCTAATTTCGTTTAGTTATTATCTAATATGCTATTAAAAATCTTTAATTTAAAATTTTTAATGAAAGGAAAAAGTCAATTAAGATCTTTTGATAAATCTCTAACATTTCAAACTTGTTTCTTATATTATGTTGTAGTGTACACGAATTAAAGTTGACGAACATAAAAAGTTTATGTTTATTTGTAATATCAAATATTTTCATAACAAATAATTTTGCATACACACTGATACAAACACACAACTCACAGATGAAAAACAACATGAGGAG